AATGAATGCCAGCTTTTGTGTTGAATCTTGGTGGCTTTTAATACTCGCCTGAAAACCACATGGTAGAAAAGAGACACGCATATTACTTGGATGTAGGCATGCTGCGTTGCGGTGAAGTGGTATGGACTACTTCGACTCAAACTTGCCGTTGACTGTCATAGCATGAATCCGTTCAAAAATGGTATCAGCTTTTTGAGGTAGTTTGTTCGCTTTATGTTATTGTCCGTCGTCTGCAGCATCATGATCTGTAAAAGTAGTTCTTTCAGGTGCACTGGATACAGCAAATAGCCTATCGTTTTTGCAATCAATCTGCTGAAAAGCAAGTTGCACCACCGCAATCAGCAGCGAGATCCCTTTGTCATTATAGTGAACATGCTATTTTGTACAACCAATGAAGCTTCATGGTAAATTCTTTACAGAGGCATGCCAGAGTGGCACGGGTGCGAGGATTTCTCGAGGCTCCAGCAGAAGCCTTCCACAGATGTTCTTTCTCCTTGCACCTTTCAATTGTTGAGCACGCTCTGTTTCTTTTTTCTCGCTGTGCTTGTGATTGATTGCGGTGCTTTCTTTTCAGCGCGAACAAGACAGAGAGAACCTTTCCTAAGATGTAAGCATTTTGCGATACTGATGTTTGTAAGCATAATCCACGCATTGTCGCCTAGTGAAAGCCTTCCCATGCCACTATTCTTTTTTTGCGAGAAGCGAAATGCGCTGGCGCTTGTCGCTCTGAGCATGCTGTGTTCACGGACTTTCCTGTGTGTCTCTGTCCCTCCTCGCAGCTGCCACCTCACCAAGCCTGGGAGTAGCAAGTAGGCGTTACACTTTAGCTGGATCTCTCCAATCTTAGCTTTTGCTCTAAGCCGACCGCTACACATGAACCATAGGCTATCCGTGCTTTTTTGTGATCCACTGGTCGTCGAATCCATGTTTGTATTTCTCCCTTTTCATCAAATTTCCTGAATGTTTCATTTTAACTGCTGCACGTGTATGTTTGATTGCAGCGCCCTCCAGTGACTCGATACCGAAGCAGGGACAACAATGTGAGCTACCTGCCGCACTTACTCAACTGTGCTTACTTCACCGTGCTTTGTACTAGCGGGCTGTTTATTCTTGTGAATTTGCATCAGTGTAGCTCAACCTGAAGCATATCGTGTCCCATTCTCTCTACACACTATTTTCTACGCGCTTTATTCCATGGTGTCCTTACTTTGTGTACTTGCAATCCTCGTCTAAATTGCTTAGCATACCACCAAACGTGGACTGCTTTCCAAAGCATCCCCTTTGGCTTGCTTTTGTGCTTTGTTCAATAGAGTCGTGTTCTGACGAGTTGCCGTACGAGCTTGCTTGATCCGTGTGCGTGTTTGTGTGACCTGGCAGCTTCAGGCCCACCGCAAGCGCCTATGGACGAGCGTACGTGCAGGACTACAGTCATGAGCCTTTACACCTGCGTTTACTTGAAACCTAACCGGGTGCCGCTTGCCGCTTTGCATGTTGGGCCACCCACAGTAGCTTCTTCCACGTATTATATGAAGCTCTAAGCAATATCCACTAGAGAGCACAGCCCTGCTGCCTGAGCTCTTTAAGTCAACTTGCAAGTGATCTACGCTTCTGTGCCCGTGCCTGTGCCGTTCACGTTTTTGTGGCGAAGCGTAATGGGCGCTGTGTGGACAGCTGGACAAAGTTGCTTGCGCCTTGTCCTTGATTTTAGCCATTTTTGCCGAAGCATGAATTCACGGCTGAAACACTTTTCTCCTGAGAATTTTTTTAAGAAGAAAAAGGAGTCATGCGTGTACATGTACGGGCGATGTCCACGCATGAAACGACTGCCAAAGGCGGAGGCTTTCAGGAACTGAAAAAATTCAACACTCTCTAAAAGCCGTCGTGGCTGTTCGTGCCGATTAGTATTTTCCAGATGAAGCGCTGCACTTCATTCTACTCTGTGCAGCTTGTGCGCCTTTTGTCTGCAGCTTCGCCAGCGCCCCGCGGAACACGTCCGAGTATGCCGCGTAAAGCACATGCGTCTGTTGGCCCACTTTTGTAGCTATAACACCTACGCTGGTCTCCATCGCGCGGCTGATATTGAGGATGTCTCTACGCAATTGAATACAGTTTTCTGAATAAAAGATTTCTTTCATGACGACATAGTTGTCTGTTTGTTGTCTTTCTGACTTTTTTCTAGGTCATCATCCCATGTCACAAACGCCTCCTCCAAGTGCGCTTAATACTACAAATTTGTCCACAAGTTTTCAGCTCGCTACAGGAACAAGGAAGTTGCGCCTGCTCCAACTAGTAACTGGATTGGCTAATATATTTGCAAGCAGCTGGTGTCAACTGAAATGCGACGTTGCATAAGCTTGGCCCCTACGGGCATCCAGAGGCAAAATGGGTAGCAGCGCTACCACAAGCGATTACTATTGCACCCTTAGCTCAATGGAACCGCTACTTACTCCTCTTACCCTGCACTCTTGCAGCCTTTTGTTTGCACTCGTGTTTCTGCAGGACGTCCCAGGCACGGAGGTCTTAAAAAAGGTGAGCTTCTTACAGTTATCGTGTTCTATTGGTTTGTGAGCGGCGCATTTTTTTCACTTGCGGACTAGTCGCCCACGCTAGACTTCTCATCAAAGTATCCACCAAATTAATGACACCTTTTATTTCTATTTTCTTCATCAAGTTCAGCATCTCGGCTTTGGGCTTACAATTTCCAGCGCAGTACTCTGCTGTAGAAGCAGCTCTAGCTATCGATACCGCGCTCAATCGCTGTGTGCTTCCGACTGGCTGTGTTGGCAGATATCTTCCTTTTGTCTGTGTGCTTCCTTGCTTGTGTGTGCCCCTTGGCAGCTCGCAGCTCTATAATACTCTTTTCCCCATCAAGTGCGTGTAATACCGAAGGCGAAACTTCCTTCTCGTAGTCCGGTTTCCAAGCTAAGCCGATTCTTTTTTTTAAAGCCGAAAGCTTAGTCGGCCACGATTAGCCAGCCCCGGGTTCTCTTCCTATCCCGCAAACTCTTAGCTTCAGGCCACAACTGTATGGTGCATGCTTTTCACATGCAAAACCTGCACATGCAGCTGTGGCTATGATGTGCTTGGCTCCACTTGAAGTGCGGGGTTGAAATGGCCAGCTAATTGGCTGAAACACGCACGCATATTTTTCCGGTTGTCGCAAGTACTTCTGCTATGGAAGTATGGGAGAACAACAGCAGCCGCAATATTTTCTGCGCAATGATTTCTTTCCCACATTCTTGGCACGAGGGAACGTCTTGTGTCCAACTTCTAGCTGCGGTATCCGAGCTAAAGGAGATTATCAGCAAAAGTGTTTAAGGAACGCGTGATGGCGGATTGTTTACAAGCGACTCCATCACGTTGATCTGTGGAAAAAAGTGCAGCTACTACCTGAGGATATCTACAGCTTTGCAGTACAACAAGCTTTGTCGTGATTTTGTGGCGTGCAGCTGTTGTCTGTGTCTTCGTTGCAACTTCAGGGGGTCATGCAGGAAAGTCAAAGTCTTCAACAGGTATGTTATCGGTGGATATGTATCTGTCTACACGGTGCTCGACGTTCAATGTGTATATTTCACAGTGAATGCCTCTACGGCTTCTGGAAGACAGAGCAGTCGTGTTCTCGCTAGGCAGTTAGGGATCCATCTTAGGATGCTGAACTGCTGTGTAAAAACGTAAATAAAGCCAATATTGGTGATATGTCTTCGCTTCATTTCGCGAAGGCAGCATGGACCAGTGCATGTGTGGCAAGTAACGCGCACGCACTAAAACGGCTGGCCGTACGCCTATTGGGTGAGTTCTAAGTAGAGTGTGTGGTTACGCTTGCAGCGTCTGATGAACTGTTGAGCCCCACTGCCTTGGATACATCAGGTACGTCAATGACCACATCTGCGCTCACCGCCTTGCAACACGGTTCCCATCGCAAGCCAATACTGCTTTGTTAGCCAGGTTTCGCGTGTATCAGTCACTTTACTCATCGACTTGTCTAACTATTTGTTGTTAATTTACTAATTTTGTGTCAAAGCAACATTTTTTCCGTGAGAATCTGCAAATTCGTGATCACCATGGAGCCTGTAGGCATCTCAGTCGATGCCAGGCGTTTTGCAGGCAAAAACAATGTAGTTTTTTGAGTTCAGTGTCGTGCCGAGCTGCTCAGCAATTCAGCCACTTTGAGTGTTAGATCTTCCTACATTTGTCTGCATGTGTCATTGCTGAAAAGAGCAGCAGGCGTATGTGGATTCTTAGGGTGGCCACACAGCTGACAGCTGGTCTGTGCACACGCTTTTGTTTTCACGCAGAATCTGCATCCCAGCCCGGCATGACTTCTTCAAGAGGTATGTTAAACACTACGCAGCTTTCTCCCGAACACCTGTGTTCCATTCTTCGGGCTAGTGGCAATTGCTGATTCTTGAGGGCATAAAGTTGGCTCTAGATGAATGTTCGCAGTAGTGTCTACCCCAGTATGCTCTAAACCTTTTGCATTTAAGAGTTCCCACAGGTATGCGTATGGAATCCGCAAGCTATAACCTTCCACAAGTCGTGTGAACGGAAGCTATTGCCTACCTTTGCACACGTAACTCTGAGCAAACTGCCTGTTCTTATGGTGTGCTTATGTTTCCTTGCTCTTGCTTTCCCCCAGAACCCGATTCCGCGCCGCAAGGTAAGCTTTCAACCACACCTTAATCCACGTCCATAACGTTGGCAGCACGCTTTTGAGTGATGGCTTCTTTTTGTTGCGAGTACATGGGGCGGCTGTGTGCGATCTAGATATACGACACAACTTATTATGACCATTCGAGACTTTGGTTTCCTCGACAGCATGCAAAATCGTGTCTGATGAGACAAACCCCAATCATGAGCGTTGGAGCAGTTCTACGCATGTGGGAAGGGATGGTTGGTCGTTCTGTCTTTTTGCTTGGGTAACTGCATACCTGTCAGCTTTTCATAGCACACTGCTGCACCTGTTACATTGTGTGTACTCCGTTCTTGCAGCTGGGGGGAAAATGCCTTACAGAGGTAAGTGCAATCCGATATCGAAGTCTCTAATATTTTAGGTAGACCTTCACTTCACCGGAATACAGCATATGTTTATAAGCGCTTGCAATTCTACCGAATCTTCTTGAATGAAGTTCTGTAAGAGGTTGTCACTCAACTATCTGTGCTTCGTGCCCCTTCTTGATTCCAGTGCAACTTCTCCACGGCAGAAGACAACGCTGTTCCTAAGATTTTCATTTGATGTACAATGGGCGTTGCTAGTTTGAGTTATTAGCGGATTTACGTTGCCTTGACTATCTCATAAATCTAGGCGGCCGTCTGTCTATTTATTTCCCTCTAAGATAGCCATCATTGGATTTTTAAGTTACTAAAATGAATGGCACCTTCATATTCTGATCTCTCACGTTGCCCATATCCTTGCAGAGCCGGAGTCGCCCTGGGTGCCCCGTGATCCAGGTGCGTGTTTGCTGTGTACAATGTACGGGCAGCATAGATCAAGAGAAGGCAGCCTTACAAATTTTGTCTAGAGGCGCGAAGTGCAGTTTTGTTGCCTTTTCGTATGTATGAAATGATCCCGTGTTTTCATGAATGCATCGGCTTTTGCGTAGAGTCTGGAGTACTCTGTGGGTGCACCGTATGCTTGCACTTCTAGTGCCTTACAAGCTTAACAGTGCAGAGCTTATCAGGAGCTGAGGCGGATCGTAGCTTCATATTCCCATCTCTCACGTTGTGCGTGCCCTTGTCCTTGCAGAGCCGGAGTCGCCCTGGGTGCCCCGTGATCCAGGTGCGTGTTTGCTGTGTACAATATACGGGCAGCATAGATCAAGAGAAGGCAGCCTTACAAATTTTGTCTAGAGGCGCGAAGTGCAGTTTTGTTGCCTTTTCGTATGTATGAAATGATCCCGTGTTTTCATGAATGCATCGGCTTTTGCGTAGAGTCTGGAGTACTCTGTGGGTGCACCGTATGCTTGCACTTCTAATGCCTTACAAGCTTAATAGTGCAGAGCTTATCAGGAGCTGAGGCGGATCGTAGCTTCATATTCCCATCTCTCACGTTGTGCGTGCCCTTGTCCTTGCAGAGCCGGAGTCGCCCTGGGTGCCCCGTGATCCAGGTGCGTGTTTGCTGTCTACAGTGTACGGGCAGCATAGATCAAGAGAAGGCAGTCTTACAAATTTTGTCTGGAGGCGCGAAGTGCAGTTTTGTTGCATTTTCGTATGTATGAAATGATCCCGTGTTTTCGTGAATACATCGGCTTTTGCGTAGAGTCTGGAGTACTCCGTGGGTGCACCATATGCTTGCACTTCTAGTGCCTTACAAGCTTAACAGTGCAGAGCTTATCAGGAGCTGAGGCGGATCGTAGCTTCATATTCCCATCTCTCACGTTGTGCGTGCCCTTGTCCTTGCAGAGCCGGAGTCGCCCTGGGTGCCCCGTGATCCAGGTGCGTGTTTGCTGTGTACAATGTACGGGCAGCATAGATCAAGAGAAGGCAGCCTTACAAATTTTGTCTAGAGGCGCGAAGTGCACTTCTGTTGCCTTTTCGTAAGTATGAAATGATCTCGTGTTTTCATGAATGCATCGGCTTTTGCGTAGAGTCTGGAGTACTCTGTGGGTGCACCGTATGCTTGCAATTCTAGTGCCTTACAAGTTTTACAGTGTAAAGCCTTTGAGGCGCTGAAGTGAGTGTTGGCTTCATGTTTCGATCTTTCACGTTGCGCTTGCCTTTGTCCTTGCAGAGCCGGAGTCGCCCTGGGTGCCCCGTGATCCAGGTGCGTGTTTGCTGTGTAAATGTACGGGCAGCATAGATCAAGAGAAGGCAGCCTTACAAATTTTGCCCAGAGGTGCCATGTGCACTTTCGTTTGCCTTTCGTATGTATGAAATAATCCCGCGTTTTCGTGAATTTGTGGAGTCGAGCCTATTGTAGGGCAGTATTTCCTGTTTTGGCGGATGTCTGCATGCCTCCTGGCCTATATCTGACTAGATCGAGTCGCATTTAATCATTGGTTCGGCCTTCCTAGAGTCTCAAAAACTGTAGAGGGTGATATATTGTTTTGCTGGCCTGCACGGTCCTTCTGTTGTGCTTGCTTACATTTCTCCAAACTTTCACAAGCACAGCAAGTTTTTCGTTGAAGTAGGGTGCTTGTAGCTTCAAAGCTTTTTTCCAGTCTATTGCTCATGCATACGCAGAACTACAGCCTCCATATTATCAGTCTTCTGAGAAACCGGTTTTACCTTTGAAAGGCGTGGGTTTGCCTAGTCCGATGCCTTGCATGATTTCATTCGAATACGTTACGTTATCTCATTTTGCGACAGCGGAGTGACGAACTGCAGTTGTGTTTGCTTTGCAGCAGCTTCGAAAGGCCCGCAGCCACAAATGCCAGGTGCGCCTTGTGCTGACGTGCTTGAAGCAATTTACCTTTACAAGTCTCGTAGGTGATGAAGAATCGCCAATTGATCAGTTTCGCACCAGTAGGGTGCTGGTGTGCTATCTTGTTTGCACTGCAGCAACTTCAAAAGGCGCGTCGCCACAAGTGCCAGGTGCGTCTAGTGCTGGAGCATTGCGCACGGATTTCTGCGCGCCCGTACAATTTGAGCATGTGATGTAATAAAGCTAGGATTTAAACCTTTTACCTTTTACTGCATTGCGGGGAAATGCCTTCTGTTGTCTGCTGCGAGTTCGTTTACAGGACCATCGCCGCTTACTGAAGACCTTTCTACCAACGTCAATGAATAGATTCAAGCAAATGAACCGTAAGCATGCCAACGCCCTTTTGGGACATTACTGTACTTAACAGGGTTACCTTTTGCAGTCCCATCTGCAGTATACAGCTCATGGCCTTGTTGAACTGCCGCAACTGCCCGCTATGTACCACCGCAAGTCGCTTTACAGATCATCTCAATGCATATACTTGCGCATTCTTTTAATGATGATACAGCTAGTTGCCTTTGCATCCCCTTGAAGGAATGTCTCCGCAAGTGCATTTTCAAGCAATTCTTGGGGTCTACTACACTGCTGTGTGCTTGAATGAAGGATTCACCGTTGCAAAGTCCTACGGACGCAATCGATTAAGGGCCAAAATGGAGTTTTCCACTGACATCCCAAGAAGAATGTTAATCGGCAGGGCGATGCATTGAAAAAATAAGCCAACGTTTTGCACCGGATTTTTGTTGCATCCATAGCTTGACGAAAATCAAATATGCAGCCTAGCTGTTTTCTACAAGACTGTCAATGCTGCCAAGCTTTGAATTTGCTCTTAAAGGAATGCCACGTCAACATCTAACCACGTGGAGACAACATAGCAACATAGCCGTATATGCATATCATGTGTCCCCAGCGTCTTTAATTCATATCCTGCGAAGCTTACAGCTATTTGGGTAACAGTAGTCCTTTAGCACACTGCGAAGCGATCTAGTTGCTCCAGCAGATTAAAGAGAAGCCCTTTCTTACCTGGAGATGCTTTAACTGAACGGCATGTAGCCTCACGCAAAACTCTAGTATGATGATTTTCGAAGGCCTTGTATTTGCCAGCAGTGCCGGGCGAAAGGACAATCCACTTACCCCACCAGCCACACCTCTATACTTGTTAGTCTCTCCAAACATGCCTTCAAGTTTGCCACTACTTGGCTGGGGAAGAACAACGCCTTCCCTCACGTTCCCAGGCCTATCTAGTCAAGATATCCGGTCTACTCGCCATCTAGCTTTGTCCCTTAATCCCAAGAGTCGAATGCATCAATTCTTTGGTCATTGGACGTGCCATTCTATCACCTCATTTAGAACCTTGTGTAACTGTGCGTGATCACTATTTTTCTTGCATCCGTTGTCTGGCTTCACAAAAACGGGCTAAGTGTAATTGCTTGTGCCGCTCTTCTCAACTCAGCCGTTGCTTTTCATCCAAGATAGTATTCCAAGATCAGAGTTAGGCGTGGCAGCTCACGAGCTTTCCTCGATACTACTTTTTAGTTACTCATCTGGTTAGATGCTCATCATCCCCAATCAACGCCCACAGTGCCAAATTAGGTATTCCTCTTTCATTTTTCACATTTTGTGTGTTTTCTAAGTACCACTTCAGCGGTTAGTGCTCAAATATGAAGTGCAGAACTGCCCAAAGTCTGTGGTGGCGCGTTGTGGAAGACTATGGCGTGACGCCATCCCACAACTCTACGAAAATTCTCCCCTTATGAGGTGTAGAGAGGCATTAAAACTTGTGCAAAAATTTGGGCACCCTAGACCTTCCGATGCTTAGGAATGAATTCGCGTTTTTCCGAAGCTGCAGCCGTCGACCTTTTCAGTGCACGAACAGTCTCTTCCATAGAACTGTTCCAGCGAGATTGGAGTCCAGAAGTCTAAAATCATATACCGTACTAATAAACATATTTCTAAAGGAATGGAGGGGAAGTTTTTATTCGTTATGATGCGGGTCTCTTGCTCAAACTCGGGGCTTCGCTCGGTTCTTCATTGGGGGGCCCCCGAGTTTCTCGCTCCCCTGTAACCTTCATATACATCTGAAAACGGTTCCTTATGTCTCCTCTTGCCCTGCTATAAAACGAAACAACCAGGCTACCAGGGTTTTTTCAGCAATAAACCAGATAAAACACTGAAGCATAGTGCCTCTCTTTGTGTCTCCCAGGTGGATGCACAGCTGCCTTCGTCGGCTGAACGGCGCCCCCTGTTCCGCTCGTTTTTTCTGCTGTCTTTGTCCTTCCGTTGCTTCTTTTCTTCTTTGTGTAAGAAAATAAATCCTTTGTGGCCTCAGAAACTGCACGTTTCATCGACGTGATTTGCAAGACAGTACCGAGGTGCTCGGCCATTTCGGGCGCGCGTTGCCCAATGTCTCCTTCTCTTCTCTGACATAACCAGTTGCTTGCCCCTTGCTTCGCTTTCAACTTGATCCACTTCAATTATCCCCCACTTGCGTTGATGTGCCTCCTCTGTCATCCCTTCCACAGGGCCTTTGTGGCTGGCCCCGGGCTTCGGTGTAGCTAGAAAAGACGCCCAGGAGCGGGCCGCTTTCTCCCTTCTCGGCTAAATGCTCACCTAGTCATCTGGCTCTATAGCCACCCGGAAACACAGATGAGGGTGCAACTGCTGCATCTTCCCCCAGGAGGCGCCTACGTGGCTCTGTTGCTGCCAGCCTTCCTATCAACCATATACGGCGGATTTTTGCTGGCAGCAACACTGCAGCAAGAAGGCGCATCTGCAGTCCTTCATTCGAACTCTGCCATTTGGGCATTCACCGTGGCTTTGGGCAGCTCCCTGGGTTTCAGTTTGCTGTTAGCAGCAGCTGGCACCTACGCCATCAGTGGTCGCATGGCCGCAGCAGATTTTTGGCTTTTACTGGGGCTTCTGCTGCCGGGTCTTGCTTCTTCTCTCACAGTTGGGCCACCCTCTCTGGGACTTACTCCTGCCAGGCTCTATGGGGGCACTTATCTGCCCGTCGCTGTTGGGCTCTACTGTTTTGCCGGTTTGCCTCCAACTCTTTTGATACTGCTCGCGCTGGCAGCAGCAGCACCCTGTGCTGCTCAGGCAGCTCGCTGGGGTGCCGGTGCTGCTGACCAAGCCCTGAGTGCCCTCCATGCGGCTGCAGCGAACTTCCTTGGCTGGTGCTTATGCACACGAATATGGAGGGAGGCGCTTGCTCTTCTTGTGGCGGAGTTGCTACCCTATCAAACAACATGTGAAGCCCTTCCCGGCCTGGAGGCGTACGAACTTAGGGTCATAAGGGCTCAACGCGTCCACGCAGCCGCCACTTTTGCTGCTGCTTCTCCTGGAGGAGGAAAACCTGCAGCTATTGTAGCAGCTACATTTGCTGCCATGGAGAAATCAGACGCTGCAGCACAAGAAACAGCGGCAGCAGATCGGGGAAGAAGCCGCCAGCCCAGTCCAAAAGCATCGCCACAACCTGGCGACCACAAGGCACAGTCACAGCAGCAAAAGCAGCTGCAGGAACAGCAACAGCCACAACAGCCAGTCTTAGTCAAGGAAAGCCAAGTTAGAAGCCCGGGGTCAACTGCTGTTCTACCGGTGGAACAGCAGAGACAGCAGCAGCAGCAAACTCGGCTCCGCGACTCTCTTTTTTGTAGCAACACTTTATGCCTAGCTGCTTCACCACGATTAGCCCCGCAGAGAAGCCAGCAGCAGCAGCAGCAGTCGCACCAGCAAGCGCATCAGCAGCAACAGCAGCAGCAAGTGCAGTCACTACCTACGGACCTGACAGTGAAAGAGTTTTCAGAAACCCTTCCCCCATCAACTAGATCTGCAATACCTGGACTTCAAGGGGCAACAGCCACAGTAACAGAAGCCACTGCGGGCGCCCATGGAGCAGGGGCGGAAATGGTCACAGCAGTATCTGCAGATGCTGCAGGAATGGACCTCTCGACACCACAAACTGACTCTTTGCATGAGCAACAAGATAAATATTACAGGCAGTTTCCACTACGTCAGAGAGTGGGAGGCTGCCACATGTTTTTCCGCTGCAGGCGACAACACACCACACCTTCCTGCCTGCTGCATAACCGGTATGAGCCTTCAGCAGCTACAGCATCATCAGCAGGGGCTTGGCCACCTGATACACTCCTGTCAGCAGCTACGGGGACCCAAGCGATGCGGTTCGAAACAAATCTGCGGCGTCAGTCCTTGACAAGGATCAGCTACCAGCCGCTGTTGACGACGCGGCAGCAGCTACAACACCAGCAAGAACAGCAGGCTCCACACCCAATTTCCTGGATCCAGCCCCATGATACTGATACAAAGCAAGAAGATGCCCTTCCTGCTTTAGGAGCCACAACAGCAGTTGCAGCAACAACAGCGGCTGCAGCAGCAGCCGCTGCAGCTGCTGCTGCGGCTGCAGCTGCAGAATCCACGCAGGTATGGCGCTTTGGGCGGCTTGATATCCCCTCTCAGGAAGCTAGTGCCTCTGCTACTCTTCCAGTAGCAGCGCCAAGCTCAAGGTCTAGACGTGGGAGCATACATCAAGGGGGCAGTAGCAGCAGGAGCAGCAGCGGAGTCAGACCAGCAGACTGCGCTGGCCGTGAGCTGTTCTATAAGCCCCCTTGGGGTCCTCAACAGAAGGGTGATGCTACGTTTGGCCCTGCAGCATTATCATCACCAGCAACCGGAATGAAGCCACATTCTCGAAGCGCGGCAGCGGTGGCAGCTGCTTCCAGTGCTGCCGCTGCAGCTGTAGGGATTGTTAAGTCTCGCAAAGCAGCTGCTATTCTGAAAAAAGCTGCAAGGAGATTTACTATGCTACACAGCACCCGTCCTATATTTCTTAAGAAACGATGGGTGACAAAGAGGCCCCTGCAGCAACAGCAGCACCAACACCAGCAACTTTTGAGGCTTCTGCACCTTCATGAGGAACAGGAGCCTGCAGTGGCTACCAGAAGAGGCCTACCAGCTCGATATTTGAGAGAAGTTCGAAGCAGTAGTAGCAGTCTCTGCCGCAGCAGCAGCCAGATTTCTGCGTCTCTCCATGCAGCAGTAGCAGCAACAACAGCAAAAGCAACGGCCGCTCCTCATCTTTCCCATGGTGCCGTTGGATTTGCCAGCAATAGCAGGAGAGCTAGCTGCTGCAGCAGTACCTATCTGTCAAACGCGAGCGCAGCGGCTCTTGCAACGATAGAGGCTCCGGTTTCTTCTGTAGTGCCCGTCCCTAGTTCTTCTACTGCTACAGATGCGGTGGCTCCTGCTGCCTTGGCAGCTACTTTGGCTACTGTGGCCCCGCATGGCAATGGCGGCAGCACCAACAGCATCGGCAGTATGGATGAGCTCATGCAGCAACACGGATTGCAGTGGTTGAGGCAGCGGCTCGCCGAGAATCAAATAGATGACGATTTTGTAGTCTCACTGGACATGTGCTGGGAGCTCTGCTGGCAACTGTGCCAAAGAGCCGCTGTCCGTACACTTGAAAAGGACCTCCCCGCATATGCTGTGGACTCTGCAGTAGCCTCAACGACAAATGCTGCAGTTGCATCAGTGAAAAATCCAAGCGTTGGTTATGGCACCTGCAAAAGCCAAAGCCACCAACGGGGAGAGCTGAGCGACTGCCTGGCTACACCAGATACACAGCCGCCTCATTTGCAGCAGATAGTAGATCGGCCACTACAGGAATTGCACGTTCTGCACCTCGAACAGCAGAAACATCTGGAGAGACAGCAACAGGACAAGGAGGATGACGTGGCAGCGGAACTGTCTGTGATAAGGGCAATCGGCACCGTAGAAGCTGCAGCGTAAGGACTGCCAGCGCAGGCGCAAACTTTGTTGCACTTTCGCCTTCTTGCCGTGTCTCCTGACTCGGCCTGTTCTACGCTGCAGCATTCCTCCCGGACCTGCTTTTTGCCGCTGTTATGTGCATTTCTTATTAAGTTAGGGCTTCCCATTTTTCGTTGTTGCATTCTTGACTCTGCTGCCACACTTTATGCTACTGCTCTTGGTGCTGTTGCTGCAGGCGGCTCCAGCAGTGGCGAAAACAACAGAGCAGGGCAGGATCGGCGCTGCCACAGCATCTGCTGCAGCAAGTCATCTGTGATGCAGCTGCCGCAGCAGTTGCTGCTTCCTCGCCTTCAGCTTCAACAAACGCAACAAGACGTTGCAAAGCAGCAGCGTCTCAAGAGGTCCGTCTCAAGGCAGTTCGTGTGGATTCACGTGCAGTCACCTACCACACACGTCGTCAGCAACAGCAGCGGCAGCAAAAGACGACTTGCAGCGCAATTTCCTTTGCACATTTGTGGAGGATTCTGTTTAAATGCATTCATACAGCAAACAACAAAAAGATATCGAGAGAGCTTGCAGCAGAGAAGAAGCAGCAAAAAGCTGTGGCTCTTGTTCTGCAAAGGGAGCTGCTGTGGAGGGAGCAGCAGGGACCACAGCCAGGTCCCCTTGCATCGGCTGCCGTTGCCGCCAATATGGCTCCCGGAAACTCAAATAGACAGGCTAGAGGAACATTTGGGAGTATACCACGAATAATGCCGTCCCTGCAGCACGAAGAGCAGCTTCCAGGCTGCAGACAAGGAGGTATCGAAAAAGCCTGTGCGCACCGCAGCGTTTGCCGCAGCAGCGATAGCAGCAGCTGTTATACATACGACGGAAGAACAGCAGATGAAAGCAGCAGTGCACAAGCATCAAGAGCTCGTTGCTTTACACAAACGGCTACTGCGCAGGCAACATCCGTGTCAACAACGGATGGACCGGGAGCAGCAGCAGCAGCAGCAGCAGAGATACCGCAGTCTATTGCGACTCCAAAGCAGCGTACGAAGACCGCTGACGTCTCCCCGTTACGCAGTGATGTGGCGAATAATAAGTCATCACGAGCAGTAGCAGCAAACGCAGAAGCAGAGGTGGAAAAATCGCCATGTATTTCGTTCACACGTTTGGGAGACAAAGCAACGGAAGTGAACATCTGGAAACGCCGGTTGCAGCATCTTTATCTCTGTTGCAGAGCAAAGGCAGCGGAAGTGTTTTTAGTACTGCAAGATGCTGCTGTTGGTGCTGCAGCTGCTCGATTGCTGGTGCAGTCAGCAGGTCGTAGCACTCCTCCTCCGTTGCCCCTGCAGCGTCTGACGCTGAAGTTTGCAGATGCTGCAGTTGAAGAGTATGTGTGCCACACCTCTATCGGCTTTTCACCTTTCTTACTGTTCGGCCGTAATTGCTCCTTATGGCGGCAGCTCTAACCAAGCCGAGCATCTACAGAAGTGCCGGATGTCCGAGTTTACATCAACCCTCTCCACATATTTGTCCCTGTTGCCACTATTGCTGCACCCTGTGAGTATGTGCTGTAGGCAGTATGTGGCCTGGCGTGTTGGTTGGATGGAGCGGAAACGACTGAACAGCTGCGGCAAGCCAGCGCTGCTATTGTGGGGCCTCATGAGTTTGCTACTGCCTGCTGCTGCATTAAGCTGGGCCTTAAACGGCACAAAACAGCAGCAACAGCAGTACCGCTCCTGGAATGGCTTCAAATTCTACGCCGGAGCGCGTCTTATATTGCAGCTTGGTGGAGAGGCGGCATTGTTTCTGCTGTCACCATGCAGCATCAACAGCAGCCGCAGCAGCAGAAGTAGCGGCTGTAGCAGTAGCGGTAACAGTAAAAAGGTGTCTGCAAGAATGCGTTCCTTTGTCTCGTACATATTTCACCTGAGGTACGCGCCTCACTGAGGTCACAACTGTCTAGTTGGTGCCCTAAAGAGAGCATACTGTGCCTCTTGCTGCTGTCGCTGGTGCTACTGCTGCTCGCGTCACTCCACTGCAGGTGGTGCTGCTGACACTAAATGGCCAACAAAGCTTTCATAACTTCGCTTGTCGGCGTCTCAGGCTTTGCCTCTGCCTCTTGGACGTCCCCTTTCACCTGCAACTCCTGTCGTTGCAGCAGCATGCAGTTGAGGACCTGGTGGTGTATGGTCCGCTGCTACTGCAGCTGGCAGCAGCAGCTCTGCAACAGCAGCAGCAGCAGCGCCATGCCTTCTTAATTTTTGTGGTGTATACTTCTGTTTTTGTCTGCGTCATTTTCGCGTGTCTGTGCCTCGTAGAAAAGCAAGCGGTGCCAGGCCCCCCTGCTGCATCTTTGCTGCTACTGCTTTTGCGCAGTGGAGTGGCATTTTCCTTCTTGTGGTCTGTGCTTCACTGCCTCGTGCTGAGGTGCGTCCACTGAGGTGTTATATCCTTCTTTTAGTTGCTTGCGGTTGGCTGCGAGCGGCGAATAGATAAAACCAGTCACACAGTGCACGCACCTTGTGAAATGTCGTCTCCAGCAAGTATCAACTAACTGCAGTGCCTTCTTAGGGACAGCAAGCAATCAGTGATTCCCGGGCAGTAGACGCTCCTCAGGGCTGACTGGAACTAGCCGTAGCTTCTACAAACACGCTGTCCCAAAGTTTGGAGCTCAGCAAGCTAAGCAGGTACTAAACTAACTAACACCACTCGAGCTTTTCGGAGCGCTTGGATGATTTTTCATGTTCTCTTGTTGCTTCTGCTTCTTTTGGTACTCAGCGTGGAGGAAAAGTGCAGCAGATGCGTTTTCTCCACAACAGTGCTTCCCTACCTGTTGCGCTTGGAAGCAGCAGCCTGCTGTGGATGCTGCGCATACACTGCACCAAGAGGGCCAGGCGACCGAGCCGCCGGGCTAACAGTGGCAGAAACAGCAGTAACAGGAGTTGCAGCTACGGAGGCAAAATTGCCAGCAGGAGAAGCTGTTCCCGCTGCCGTGGTCAACACGAATCCGCAACTTTCCCACGTACAGGAGAAACAGCAACTGTTGGAGCAACAGCAGCGCAATGTGTCTAAAGCGACGGGAACGGGGAATCCTAGTGGCGAAGTGGGCCACCAAAGAGGCGGAAGCCAAAACAGGAAGTCTTCAGTCCAAGGAGACGGTGGGACTTTGAATACTTCCGACAAAACCAAAAGCAGTAGTAGCAAGAGCCCAGAGACATCAGTAACCAAAAGCGCATTCGGCATGAAGAAACAGCATTTCAAGGGGGCTGGTAATAGCAGCTCTTATTGGCCAAAAAGGCTTCAGCGTGTAATTCGATGCCGCACACCATGCCACAAGAAAATGGGCTCAGTGCTGCAGCAATGGAATAAGCAACGGGAACAAAAGCAGCAGCAACAAAAGCGTCCAGAGCAAGAGCAGCAAAAGGCGCGGACGCACCAGCAACAAATGCAGGAGGTGCGCAGCCTTGCAGTGCGACGCTATCATTCTACAGGTTCCCTTATTGAGAAAGAGCGAGCGGCAGCAAAGGAACCAGAAGAGGCTGCGGCCGCTGCAGTCACTGCTTGGTCAGATGTGGAGCCATCACTCGCGTGCAGAGAGCTACTGGAAAGTCTTCCAGCCCGTAGAAGGCGACAATGCGGTCAGAGCAACAGCCGAAGCAGCAGCAGCAGGAGAAGCTTGCGAAATTCTCGGCATAAAGTAGGTACGCAGTTGCAGCAACGGCCCTCAGAAACACTCCAAATTGCACAGGCATCCAGACAAAAGTCCATTGAGGCTTTGCGTGGCCTCCTAAAGGGTCAAGTTCAAAACTCAGCAGCGGCAGCAGCAGCAGCAGCAGCAATGGCCGGTTCTTCTAATTGTCCCAATGCTATTTCTGCCACTGCTGATCGAGTGAATACCAAAGCTGACTGCAGCACTAGCAGCAAGTCTGCCGCAAAGCTCTGGAAATGGAGGAACCGCAGTGGCCGTTCGGGGCAAGAACTGCACCAAAGAAGCAGCATCAGCACCAGGCGATCTGCTTGGACTCTCTTACGAATGCCGAAGGAATCTGACAGTCAGTTCCAGGTCGGCCCTTCTACTTTCCGCCAAGGTAGGGCTTCTGCGTATGCTGTCGCTGGTACTGCTGCTGTTCGATGCTGCCTCTGAGGGGGCTGTTGTTCCTTTTACTTTCTTGCCTACGTCCAGCCGGCTGCTCTATTCCCGTTTCAGCTGCTGATGGGCTTCCTTTTGCCTGGCGTGTCACTCGCGTATGCAGGCCAAGAAACAGGGAAAAGGGCAACAGTGTTTGCGCAGCAGCAGCAGCAGCACAAAAGGATGGTGCTACAGCGGGTCCGCAAGCGACTAACATCCCTCAACAAAAGCTCTCGACAACGCCGGAGAACTCCAGGGAATTCACCGTGCTTACCGACACCAACAGCAACTGCCACTGCTGCTGTGAGCATGCCTCCCTCTCTTCACAAGGTTTCTGCTTCATTTGGCCGGCCTAAGTCGTGGACTCGTTTGAAGAGCATCCGATGCAGCAGCAGCAGCAATCTCCCATCATGGCTGAGGGGAAACAGCTTCAAGGACAGCCCAATTTGCAGGGGGACCGGAGACTCTCGACCGGCCCGAAATCGCCTTCTGCTGCACCACCTGTCAGCTTGGGGGAACCGTGGCAGCAGCAGGAGCAGCAGCGGCAGCGGCAGCAGATTGTGGGGTGATACTGCTGCAGCGACACCCGCAGCTGCGCACCCAGTACCCTCTACGACAATGGAAGCAGCGCGTTCTTCATATCGTTCTCGTGCTATTGCCTTGCCTGCTGCTGCAGCCCATATCGCTACGACTACAGGCCAGAGTCCTGCTGGTTGTGCTTCTGGAACTGTCAGCAGATATTGCAGGGCTGAGGAGGGCAGCCCGTATGCAGACAACAGCAGAACAGTAGCGGCAGCTACCACTGTTTGTAGGTGCCCACACAACGCGCAGTCCAGCTGCGATAGCAAGAGGCAGCAGGTAGTCACGCTGAGACAACAGTTGCAGTTGCAACCATCTCGAAGTTCATACTTTTCTTCCACAGACAAAAGAAGTGTAGCAGAAGTTGGTTACGGGGTAGTAGCAACAGAAAGGGCCACTGGTACCTCAGCGGTTAGAGGGACTGCATTTGGACGGGTGGAACCAAGACCCGGAACACCGACTGCAGCCGCAACAGATGTCTGGATTTCCGTTCCTTGCCTCGACCCCAACTGGAATTATGATGAGGATGGATTTATACATATGCAGCAGAAGCCTCACCAATCGCAGCAGCAGCGGCTTTGGCTGCCTTGCACGAACACCGAAGTCAATGCGAGCTCATCACCTCAGCTGCATGGGGTTTTCAGCATGAGGCGTCCAGACGACTGCAGCAAGCGCAGCAGCAGCAGCAGCAGCACCTGGGTAGCAGAAAACTCAAGAGAAACGCTTAGCTTGTGGGACTCCACGCCAGATGCTTTCACTATGAGGGGCATCAGTGGCACTGACCAAGTACAGGCGCCGCGACCGTCTCGCCGGCCATCCCTGCTGCAACAAGGCTCCATGCCGTACCCCACTGCTGTTTCTCCCACTGCAGCTGGTGGTGGCAGCATTGGCGGCTTTAGGGCTACAAGTGTGGAGCAGCAGCGCGGCAGCAGTACAAGCAGCAGCCAGCAGCAGAGTCAGGAAGCGGTTGCAGCAGCCCGCGCAGTAGCAGCAGCAGCAACTGCTGCCTTGAGCAGGGGAGCCAGTGCCAGGCTGCGTCCTGCGAAAGAAGGTGCTGCTGTCGTTGCCCAACGTGCAGCAGCAGCAGCCTTAAGTGCAGCAGCGGAAGAAGTAGGCGATGGCTTCTGTGATACGCGGCAGGAAGCAAGAGTATTCTATCCGGATGAGTGCATTAAAAACCGACTTGAAAAGCTCTTCTGGGGCCTTAGCGTCTGACATGTCAGTGAAAGTTCAATTTAGCATAAAAGGGAATGCTGCAGCACCAACGACAACTGCTGCTGTGTCTCAGCAACAGCAGCAGCAAGTGCTGCGCGGAATGGCCCAAAGACAAAGTCATTGCAGCTACTACAACCGCAGCAGCAGCGTCTGTCGCGCTAAAGCACGTGCTGCTGCAGTGACAGAGTCGCAGCGCGAGTTGTGTGGACGGATCAGGACTTTGAAGACAGGACTGGCGCTTGGGTTCAGGAGAATCGACCGGTATAATCTTTATAGCGGAAACACTTGAGGAGGAATTCAGCAGATGTAGCATGAGCAGTGCTTAGGGTAGTTCGCATTTGAACAACAAGAATTAAAGGTGAATACTGTAGAATCTGCTGCTTCCGTTCGTGTTGTGGATCTCAAGCATTTGCTGCTTCTGTTGCTAGTGCTAGCGTCTTCTCTTCACGCTGTGGAACAGTAACAACTTCTGTTTCTGACGGTTTAGCAGGTTTACTCCATTTGGCTGTCCCCACAAAAGCGTCAGATGCTGCGGTCGCCGGGCTGTCGCCGGGCTCTTCTACTGCGTTAGCGGAAAATGCTGCTAAGGCACCGGGTGCACCTGGTTAAGGCCATCGAGACGAAGAGAGTGGCTGTGTAAATCTGTAACCTTCAAGATCCACACAGAGAAAGACGCAGAAAAATACGGGAAAAGATACGAGGGAGGCGGAAGACGCAGTACCAGACAAATAACAGTGGAAGGCAAGGAAATGCTGGGTCTGTCCACCTTGTCGTCGTGCTTGTCCCTTCAAGTCTTCCGCTGTTTCGGCTTGTCTGTCTGCCCTTCTCTTTTCTTTCATTTTCAGTTTCCAATGTGCCACTTCACTTCTTTCTGCCCCTTTGAAACAGGCAGTAACAAAAAAGATAGCCGACAGATGGCAGCGCATGACGGGCTGCGGCATTGTGCTTCAGCTCATCTTCATTGGCTTGCCATCATGGCTACATACGCTCTAACTACACATTGATCAACAGCGGTGCTACTTAGTACACTTGTTGGGGGTACTGACGGAAGCAGACGGAAGCGAACTGCAACGAAGGAGCAGTGGAAAACAAAGCACGTGCAGGGGACAACGGCTAAGATGCATCCTGTGTGCTTCCGCATGAGCTAAGATACAAGCCCAATGCCTCAAAATCCAGAGCGTCGTGCCTAAAACCTAAACCTACTGAGGACAAAGTCGGCCCGCGGGTGTTAAGACAAGGCAGATAAAGCAGCGCGAGAAAAGAACGGAAAGACAAAAAAGTATAACCGCTCTGTCTCACTTTTTTAGTTCTGCTGTTGCTGTTTTTGCTGTTGCTGCACTGAGGAGAGCAGTAGAAGGGTTTTAAGAAGGAATTCTGTGGATGCTTCGTTACCAGTTGAGACGAGCTGACCATCTACGACGAGCGCTGGAGCTCCTGTGGGACCCGCCGCTATGCGGGCCCCTTCAGCAGCAAAGTGTAGCTCCAGGTGAAACGGCAGAAGCCCGAAGTACGGGTATCTACGGAACAAATTGGAAACAAAAAAGGAACAGGACAAGCAGGCAAAAATGAGAGGCTTTGCTGCATCACAGGCAACACGGCAGCTTCCCAAGCTGCAGAGAGGGCTCCTCGAAATCCTTCTTGCTTTTCACTTGGCAAAATAAGAGAAAACACCCGTGGATGCTTTTGTACGAGGCAGAAGCAACCGAAGGAGCAGCAACAATGGCAGCAGTCGCAGAGGCACAAAGAATGTTGCTCACCGAGCCTCTTCGGCTAATGGAACTGTAGAGACTAAACGGCCGGCCAGTGGAAAGCTCTCAGATTCTGCAGCAACAAACGACATACTTCAAGTCATGGATGTAGCGCCAAGGCTTTGTGATTTGCCACCGGCAGCACGAGACTCTGGGAAACTACGTATCTCCTGAAGCCTAGGCACAGCGCCCTTATGAGTCTTAACCACGAGGTGTACCAGTTAGTGGCTTGGCGCAAAGGGCAAATGCGCCGTAGCCAACTGCCCCAACAGGCTTGTTCAGGGCCCCAAACTCTTTAATGAGGGTTCCTGTATTGCTGCTGCTATAAAGGTCTATTGCAGCTCCCAAATGGTGTGGCAGAAGCAGGCAACAATAGTCTGCTGCTGTTGCCTTCCTCAGTTGCTGCGGCCGTTGCAGTTGCTGTAGCAACAGATCAGCGCATTCCTCTTTCTCCTTTGATAAAAAAAGTCTCAAATCCTCAAGGGTACCAAAAGAAGCCACGGGAGGAGGACTTCCCGAAAACGTCACAAACTCCAGTGTATATCCGCTGCTCTGTGCTGCCCTGTGCATAGCTAAAAGGGAAAAGAGAGACACGCCAGCATCGGCAATGAACTCTCTCTCCCCCTTCCCACTTGTGCTGAAGAATTGTGCCTCTGATGATAGCAGCACGCAGACCTTCTTGGTGTTTGTGGGATCATGGGCGCCCAGTAGAGATGGCGACTTCGCAGGCCACTGGGGAGCTCTCAAGGAAGCATTCCCAGCAGTCAGAGAGAGGCCGGCTTCTGGTATATTTGCTGACGAACAGTGTGTCTTTTGATCTGAACTGCCCCTGGAAACACCAGGTTCCACTGAAAACCCCTTCATAATTATATAGAGGGCAGATAAAGGACTCCAAGAAAGGCCTAGGTCGACGAAGGGGGGCCCCCAGGGCCCCCTCGTGGAGCCGATTTACAGCAACGACGGAGTAAGTGAAGTTGCTAGGAGCCCTGAGTGTGCATGATAATTGGAAAGTCACTTGCCTTTATTTTAAAATTGCAAAATCGAAGAAATGCGGAGAAAAGTGACAGGGTGACAGATGTTTTGTTGATCACATGTCGCAAGCGCGGCCGACTTTCTGGAACACACAGCCCCAGATACACGGCAAACGTACAGGTCCTGCATTCCCTGACACACAGAGTCTAGCAATGGTACAATTCATGATGTTACAACAGTCGAGTCTGAAGCATTCTGTAGCTACAGCACGATAATACTGGCCGCTAGCGCTGCGGCTCTGCGTGCGTGCGTACTCCATACAGCACATGCTAGGGCCCCTAAAACACGTCCGTAACCCCAAGCCATTAATCATCAAGTAAAGTTTTCCTTGCCATTATCGTCTATCAAGCCGTGGGGCACTTCGCGAATTTCCGCGGACATCCGGTAGAATTGCTCCGTGAGGTCCACAAAAGACGACACTCCGAAGAGCGTTACTTCCGAAGAGTCTCCAGCCAATATTAACGGGCCTCCACATATACCAAGAGCTACGCAAGCACCAACGACTGATTCGTCCGGTGCTGTGCATTTTGCAAGAGTACTGCTTTTACTGCGTGCCACTCAAAGGAACCCTTGGGGCTCTCAGCAGAAATGCCCCCGCTTCCTTTCTACGCCAAAAGCCGTAAATCAATGATTATTGAAACAACAAGAAACCCTAGATACGGATGCCCGCCTTAGTGCAACCGCGTATTTTGCGCTTGTTTTTGGTTTTAGTGGCTTCCAGTGACGTAACAGTAGCCACAAGTTCGTTTGGTTCCCTCTTTCTCTTACGAGTCTTGCCACCACCAGTCCCTGCTGCTCTCTTCTCAGCCGCAGTAATTGCTGCTGCTGTTGCTGTTCCCAGTGAAGGAGAGATGCGGCGCACTGTAGCCAAAAAGAAGCCTCTGCACTTGTGAGTTTGGAAGGACGCCCTCACACAGAGAGAACCGAAGGACTCTAGAGCCTTCTCCAGCTCCTCAGTACTTCTGCTACTGCTGTTTCTAATTTGTTGCCGCAACTCTGAAACAGCCGCAGCAGGCACAAACCATCCTGGGTGGAGGGACGGACGAAAAACTTGCCAGCCCTGAAGAGCAGTGCTCTGTCGCTCCTGTTGCTGCGACGTCTGCCCCTCCAATCGCTGGGTATGCTGCTGCGGCTGCTGCAGCCCCACGCCGAGCAGGACGGCCTCATTCTCGTGCACATACAATGAGCAAGTTGAATAGCAAACGAGACAGGCAGCCGGAAAGGCTGTGAGTGCATGCAGCAGCAGCTTTCGCTGCATTGCAGCAAGGCGCACAACCCTTTCCTCTTCGCATTCCAATGGAACCACGCCAGGCAGGGGTCCATCAAATGAATCTGCAGGGCGTCCATCCAACGGAGGGCCCTCAGATGAGCTGCAGACGCTGGCCCTGTATTTCCACCCCTCCCAGCTCCACCTCAGTAAATCGGGCGGGTCATTTTCAACAGAACTCGCAGAAACAGCAGCGACAAAAGTACTAGCAGACGCAAAAGGATCACAAGTTCTCGCCTTAGTGCCGGCGACGACTGCATGGAGGCGTTGGGCACTGTTTTTGCCGCAGGACTCACGGGCTGCTGCTGGTATAGCTGTTGTTGTTACTGCATGTATGGGAAGGCCACTGCCCGAGCATGAAGGGTCCAAGACAATTTTCTGTGCGCAGCAGAAGGGCGGAACCTTCCCATCGACAGCAGCGAAGTCTGCTCGCCTCACCTCAACCAGCAGCATTGGAAGAGCTGCGGCTATCTTTGGGTAACTTGCTGCTGCTGGCGCTGCTGGTGCGTCTACTGCTGCTGATCCGGGCAGCTCACTAGAGCGAGCAAAGTACAGAGGACGTTTCCCTGCTAGTTCCGCAAGCCACAGGGACTCTTCCCTATTGCTATCGCTGCTGGCTTTGCCTGGAGGTTTACTCCTATTGCTGCTGGCTGCATGCTGCGGCTTGCAGCAAGGAGACAGATAAGGCCCCCGGAGGGCTGCCTCCTGTTGCAACCTGCGCAGCATTGCTGCAAGTCTTTTCTTGTCCCGTTCGAGAACGATCAAGTGGCCCTTGGTGTCAAGCATCTCTGCACAGCAGCCGCATTGACAGCAGTAATGTATGCTTCTGTGTTATCACCACCCCCTGCGACAGACCGGAAGAAATATAGTGGAAGATGCACAGAGCAACAACAGGAGGATCAAACAACAGGCACTGCATATAAAGCATCGGGCACACCAAAGTTAGGCAAGGGTACTGTTGCAGCAGCATCAACGGAAGCGGAAATAGCAGCATCATGTACACCAAACCAAAGCCAGCAGGGTTTCCACATCGGCACGCATGGACGCTAGCTGATTAACCCTTTCGGATTATTTTGATGCCACGAAATTCGCACCAAATTTGTGTGGTTCTGTGCACACACAACTGATTGTATAAGCATACGGACATCCGTTTCGCTGGGTCCATATGCATAAAGAAATGTATCAGCACATACTTTCCTGTTGATCCAAATGAGTGAGGCGTACGTACACAAGAGAAGGCGCAGAAAAATATGGAAAGCAGCACATGCAATTAAAGACAACAAAGACGGCAACAAGATGACCAGAAGTACCGAGGATGTGCAATGTCTTGCTTCCCGGAGCGGCGCATCCCTCAAGAATGATGTCACCCTCTGCTATTGCAGCAGCGGCAGCTGCAGTGCAGCTGGCTCTGTCCTGAAGAGAAGCAAAACCCCTTGGCACGAGTTGATGAAGCAGGAGAGGCTCCTGTTGCTGCGGTTGCTCTGGAAGCTGCTGCTCTTCGAAAGGAACCTGCAGCTCCGCAGCTCCTTCCTCTGTGTCTTTAGTTTCGGGTGATTCCCGTGGCAGCATTCGCTGCTGTTGGCGCTGCTGCTCATTCGTTTTAAGTAGTCGTGCAGCGGCAGCAGGGAGAGCAATAACACAGGGCAGAAGAGGATCTGTGACGGCCCAGAGTGAGCGAGGAAGCCTGGCCTTGAGGAAGTTTGCTGCTGCTTCTGCGTCCCACACTCGCAAGTTTACCCGCAGATATCTAGGAATCGCGGTTGCTGCTGTTGCTGCCAATGCTTCATGTTCTGTTGAATCTGCTGCTGTAGCAGAGTACAACGACCGCAGATGAGACTCGTGTTCCAGAAGCAACCGCTTCAGTTGGCCCCCTCCCTGTATTCCTTTTGGAGATAGCAGCAAGTCACGCAGCATCAGCAGCAGCAAATACTCTCTACTTCCTGTTGTTTGTATCGCTGCTGCTTTTCCCTTTGCTGATTCTGGTGCTGCAGCTATCGAAGAATCTACAAGGCCGACCTGACACAACAGCTGCTGCAGCAGCTGCCGCACTGCTAGTGTCTTTGAAAGGAGCGCGTATACCTGAGCAGAGTAAGCAGACGCGAAACCAACATAAGTCGCACTACTCAGAATCGGCCTCATCAGTAGGACTCATCAGTAGGAACAGGAGCAAATGCCTACCCTAGATAGGGCCTTTTGAGGCGGCCTGGCCGCTCCGTAAAGAGCATCTCTCAGTCCGATTCTCTGGCTGTCCATCAGCTGTAAAACCGCTGCAGCATGCCTGTACACCTCAGCCATTTGCCAGAAGCAGCGGCAAAGGCAATCCTGGTGGCGTTATCCCAATATGCAGGCAAATACCCGCAGACACTAGAAAGAGAACTCAAAACAGCAAACAGGCGGAAAATGCGTGCAAATGTGGTTCAGAGATATATCTGTTGCCGGAAAAGGGCACAGAAGCCCTAACAGTATCTTTCACTGTTCATACCCAGTGGACCTGAACAGCAAGGGCTAGCCAGAGTCCGGAAACAGTATACAAGCAAGTTACAAAGGTCTCCAAAGACAATGGAACTTCGTCTAGACGTCACAAGGATAGCTCCAGGTGCCCTGAAGACGCTTGATTATACAAGCAGACCAAATATATCTGTAAGGGCAGTGAAATTTCATCTAGAGGCTACCAAGGAGGTTGATCTCTTCGTGGAAATGGATAAGTGGATATGGTTCCAGCCCAGATCCCTAGACGGTAGTCGTACTGCCCTGTGCCAAAGTCCTTGAAGAGTATCATTGGAACAATATTGCAGTATACCATCATTAGCAGTTCCTCCTTGCGCCGTCTTTGAGAAGGCGCCCTTGATCGAATCTGAAGTCGATGGTGGGGGGCCCAAGGGGGCCCACCAGAGCGCCGTACCATGCACATCCGCAACGAAACAATGATTTTTCTCATTTTCTTTATATGTTTATGTCATGAACCGCATTTGGCAACGGGATTGCCGCCAATTGTCTTGAATTTCAGCGCCCTAGGCCCTGCAAGACAGGTAGAGCAGGGCATTGAGTTTCAGGCTCTTGGTTGACGGCTTAACATAACCGTATGCACTATATGGCAGTCTACAGATGACTGGAGCTCTAAGGCGCTCTCCAGAGTACGCAGAGAGCGCTGGGGAGATTCCCCGCATAAAGCCGTAAAGATTCAACCCTTAACCCCGACAATGAACCTCTCGGTCTTTCGGGCCGGTGGACAGTTGCTCTTGGGGCCGAAGCACCCCAAAACAGCTGATGGAGTCTCTCTGCTTTCGCGCCCAACTCAGTGGACGGCTGTTGGTCCCCGCCTGGGTGCAGCCTGTTGGCACTGGAGCCGTTCACTGTTTGCAGCACCCTCAGCAGTAGCAGCAAAGCGGCCTCAGGAATTCTTCACAACTCGCTGTTTCTCGATGGCATCTGAGAGCTTCCGTGGGGATATAACAGAGCCAAGCAAATGCCGAACACGCAATATCGGAATAAGCGCCCATATTGACAGTGGCAAGACAACTCTGACAGAGCGCATTCTTTTTTTCACAGGCAAGCCATGGGGTTTTGAACTACGTGTGTAGCGCCAAAAATCCAGATTTTAGGGCCTATGAAGACGCAGAATACCTTGCACGTGTGACGGAAAGAGAGAGGCGACAGCTCAGGGCTTGGTCTTGCTCCCGGTGCCCGCAGTGATTCACGGGCCTATGGATTGGGCTTTAAGGTTTAGGGCATGGTAATCAGAGTTAATGGCTTGGTTTGAATTCTGAGTGTAGGTCGTATAGCGGAGATTCACGAGGTGCGGGGGTCCGACGGCGTAGGGGCGAAAATGGACTCTATGGAACTGGAAAGAGAAAAAGGTGAACTCTAACATCCTCATTGAGCCCTGAAACCTACACCGAACTCTTAGTACTGCATTCGCTCCACGCGGTAGGGTAAATCTCAGGACCAGAGCTAACCTCCAAGCCTGGGGCTTTGTGCTATAAACAAACGACCTTTCCGTTCTGGCCTCTCTGGCCAGAACGGAAAGGTCCTTTGCAAGAGCTTCGTGTTATGCTTCAGCCATTATACAGATTCTAAGCATTTGATCTCAAGCCTGGTTACAATGAGCGTGCCATTGTCATCCTGCTTTCTTTGAAGGTGCCTGTAGCTTTAGTGTTTATTAAATCAGCTCCAAGAGTGTATGGCTTGGCTGTAGGAATAACAATTCAGTCTGCTGCGAGCTACTGCACCTGGGAGCTGCCCAAAGGGCCACCTGAGGGGCCCCCTGGGGGATCCTACACCTTGAATTTAATTGACACACCTGGACATGTAGACTTCACAGTTGAGGTGGAGAGAGCCTTGCGGGTTTTGGACGGCGCGGTCCTTGTGGTTTGTGGGGTTGCTGGTGTGCAAAGCCAAACCCTGACTGTTGACAGACAAATGAAGCGGTAAATGTCTGACCTGAACCCTATGCCGTAAACCTCGCGACAACAGCAATAACAAAGTTCTAAACTGAAAACCGCAAATTCAAGGGCTCGCGGCTTCGCTAAATGTCGAGGCTGTATGACGGGAATTTGTGTACAGCCCAGGCTAGTGATTCACAGGCCAGGGCCAAGGGCTTAAGGTTCAGTTCTTTGGCTTGTGGTTGAACGGGTTTGTTTACAGTTATGGGGTTCCCCGGCTGGTGTTCGTAAACAAACTGGACCGCGACGGAGCCGATCCCTGGAGAGCACTGGCGGGCATTCGCAGACAACTCGGCATAAACGCCTGTCCCATTCAAGTAAACTTTGAGCTGTACACTTGAGGCTGATAAAATGACGTAGCTTAACATACGGCCTTCTTATGCACACGCTCGATTTAGCCCTCTGGTTTGTCACGGTCTTCAGTGCAGTCCTACAGCTTGCCGAAAGTATTTTCTGCATACTGCTTGGCGTCTACTCTTTGAACAGATTCCAATTGGACTCGAAAGCAGTCACCGAGGTGTGGTGGATTTAGTGTCTTTGGAATCGATATATTTTAAAGGAGAAAACGGAGAAGAAGTCGAACGCTCTTCTGAAGTGCCCAACAGCTTGTTGGAGGAGGCAAAGACGCGGCGGAATCAGCTCATAGAAGCCCTCGCTGATTTGGACGAGCAACTGGCGGAGTCGTACATACAGCTTGAGGATAAGGTTCCTCCAGAACAAATACACAGTGCAATTAGAAGATGCACCCTCAATCATACATTTGCCCCCCTTCTCATGGGCTCGGCGAAAGGCAACAAGGGAGTACAACCACTCCTGGACGCTGTCTGTCGCTACCTTCCCGCACCACGTAAACCGTGATTCCCCCAAACTTAACTGTAAACGCAATGCGGAGCTTGAGCGCTTTTTGTAGATTTGGCGAATCCCATTAAGCTCTATGCGACAGCTGAAGAGTGTGAATAACCTCTTTGAGTGCCTCAGCTCCTCCGGAGCAATGTGAGGCTTCGGCTCGAACGGCCTGGGTTTAGAAATCCTGGTCTTTTGGTTTTCAGAGGACCGCGTTCAAGTGGCGAAAGACATGGAAAATGACGGAGCAGAAGTGTCCCTCTCCTGTGACCCCAAGAAGCCGCTCGTCGCAATGGCCTTCAAGATCCAAGTAAAAGCGGCACATAAACCATAAAGCGTAGACGCAAAACTGTGCCAGCAGTTGTGCCCCTATAAAACTTTTGGCCATCGGCACCCTCACAATTTTGCGTGTAAGGTAAAGCATCTGAGTTTTGGTGTTTGTGACTTAGGAACTGCCTGTGGGCCAGCTAACGTACTTGCGGCTGTACCAGGGCTCGCTTCGGCGCGGTGACTCTGTGTTGAATTTGAGCACCTCTAAAAAACAGCAGGTGAAACGGCTGCTGTTGATGCATGCAGACGAGGCGAGAGAGATACAGCGGGCTGAGGCGGGAGACATAATCGCTGTGGGAGGCCTGCAGTGCCACTCTGGAGTGACCCTCACCGACGGACGCTGCCAGCTTGCCCTCAGCTCGATGTACGTTGCTGAGCCAGTAGTCTCTCTCGCTGTCCGTGTGAATCGGAAAGACGACCAGCCCAAGTTCGCCAAGGCCCTTAACAGGTTCCAAAGGGAAGATCCGACCTTCAGGTCTGAAATCGTGAAATCAAAGTTTCAGCTGTACACGCCAGATTAAGCCTAGTGTGTAATTCGCAAAATTGTCGAGGAAGTAAGGGCTTCAGGAGTACACTGCAAGCCTAAAAGCCGTAGACAACGGAAGCTGATTCTGCCGCCTGCAACCACATGGCGGAGTGTCTGTCATTAACTTGCCGGCGCTTACATTTGTGTGTGTTCCCCTGAACTCCCTTTGTATCATCTGCTGTCATTTGAGTTGCAACTAGCTTTCTAGGGCTTGCAACTCATGGGGGCAGAGGGCTTGGAATTTGTGCGCCAAAATGCAGAGTGGGGACAGACCCTGAGTCGAAGGAAACAGTGATCTCCGGAATGGGGGAGCTGCATTTACAGATCTACTTAGAGCGTATGCACCGAGAGTACCGTTTGCAAGTGACGTCTGGCCAACCAAAAGTGAACTACAGAGAAATGCCGACCCAGAAAGCGCTCTTTGACTACACCCACAAGAAACAAAGTGGAGGCGCAGGGCAGTTCGGCAGGGTCATTGGTTATTTTGAGCCCATCGAACAAGGAGACGACATAGATGGGAACACACCCAACGTTTTCACTAACCAGCTTGTAAATCGTGCACCCTAGCTTCTACTGCCTACAATTGAGTTTTATTAACTTTTCTCTCTCCCTAGTGTGGGCCTGATCACAAAGGCATCTGGTGAGCAATCAGTACTCAAGCTTTAGAATTTACAGAGCTTCTCGTGGCTTTGTTTCAGGTAGGAAACGACATTCCTCCTAATTTCATTGCTTCTATAGAGAAGGGCTTCCTGGAAGCAGCGCAACGCGGACCCCTGACAGGGGCCCCAATGGTGAACACCCGGTTTGTGTTGGTGGGGGGCAAAGCCCACGACGTGGACTCAAGCGACATTGCCTTTCGCCTGGCAGCTGCAGGCGCCCTACGGTGAGAACAGGCGCAGTTCCTAGGGATTATAGCTGCTGGGTGTGATAGGGATGGAGACCTTCAAAAAGAAGGGGACTGAGACAAACACGAGGACAGAAAGAACACAGGATCAGTCTACGGGAGGAGAGACTAAGGCTAGTGAACACACAGCAGGCAAACAGAAACAGAGGAGCAATTAGGGCAATAGGGGGTCTGTCTTTGCCCCCTTCTAACTGTGGAAGGGACACCAAGGGAGGCCGAGACTTAAGGACGATTTCCATGCTTTTTGCGTATGTCATGTGCCTTGCTGCATCTCTTGTTTTGTGCATCAGTACCTTCTATGAGGATTCGTTGCCAGTTGTGCTGGAGCCCTTGATGTCGGTAGAGGTCTCTGTACCCCGCGAGATGCAAGCGAGTGCCTTAGGGCTGCTGAACCGGAGGCACGGCAGCGTGTCGGACTGTACATTGGAGGGGGAAACAGCTGTGGTGTCTGCTGAGGTCCCTCTGCGATTCATGTTTGGCTTTATTTCGGACCTCAGGGCGCAGACCCAGGGACAAGGCGAGTTCACCATGACATTCCAAAGGTATCAACAAATGCAACAAAATGACCAAGAAGCGGTTGTGAAGCAGCTGCAGCAAGAACGGCAGCAAAAGCGAGCCGAATAAAGCGGCCCCTACAGCCTAAAATTGCCTGTGCAAACCGGCAGTTAGGTCGTCTAGAAACCTCAGTACAAATCGCGATCTTCAAATCTCTCTGGCTGACTGCACCCCGACAAATAGTTACAGCGGAGCATTAATTGGTCTGATTTAGAACGCCTCAAGCTTAAGAACACGGATTCTGCCGCCGATTGATGGATACTTAATTTGAAAGTGTCTTGCTTTCTGCCTTCTTGTGTGTGATTCTCATTTCAACTGCCTCTTTCAGATTTTTCCTTCTATCTGTCTAGATCTGTGTAGGATTTTCTGCCTCATTTTCTGTATTTAAACATGTCGTCTTCTACGTCCGTCCGATGTGCTCCTGTTTATACAAAACTCCACCATTCGAGTGTTACTTTGTCTCTTCAGCAGATAGCCTAGCGGCGAGACAAATAAAGTACGAAACAGATAGCCAAGAAGACACCATGAGCCGCCAAAAAGAAACAAGAAGAAAGGGAGAAAAGTGATTCAGTTGCCCGCATGTTTGTCCAAGCAGCTACACACCACTCCGAAGCACGCTCATTCACAGCAGCAGCAGCACCCGACGCAGAACTCGCAGACCCTTCGTAAAAGGCAGCGTGCATAAATGAAGGGTCACGAGGGAGCCAAAGAAACACAATAGACTCACCGATACGGCAGCAGCACCAACTACACTTCTGCAGTTCAAGCTGACCGAAAAAACGCGCAAAAAATACCTCCAGTTCAGATATTGTGCTCTGCCCCGGGCAGTAGGTGTTCGTGCTAAAAAAACGTCGCTGCCGCAACAACGACGCTGTTGCTGCTGCCGCAACAACGACGCTGTTGCTGCTACCGCAACAATAAGAGCACCAACAGCAGGCCCACCAGCAGCGCCTAAGGTGGCCTTCTCTCGCAGCGCTAGAAACAGTCGTCTGGCATTTCGCTTGGGCCTGCCAGGAGAAGCGCCATTTTCCTCGACTTACGTGTGCTCCTGTTTGCCGAGACTGGGTCCTCCCCCGCGGGCTCAGCTGCTGCTTCTGGTGTTGCCGCTGCCTTTGGCCTTAGAGGACCCATGGCTGCTGTCTTCATGACATGCTGCCAGAGCTGCTTAATGCCTGAACCCGTGCGGGCAGAAACGACGAAGACTGGAACTTGATTTCTCGGCTGCCGCTGTTCTCGCTGCTGCGCTTGCTGTCCTAGGGCTGAGGTATGCGGCGTGAAAAGGCCATAGACGCCCTTGCTGCCACAGTCACTGCCGCAGTCCTTGGTGTCTTCACTATCGCTCATGTTTCTGGTGCTTTTTTGCTGTTCTAGCAGCAGCTTCAGCCTCAATTGCACCAGGTAAGAAGGTAGCATGAGCTGCTTAAAATCTGACAGATTTTCCACCAACTCCTGTGCAGAAAAACCCACAATCTCCTTGTCGATACACCGGCATCAGCAGCAGCGCAAACAACAGAAACGTCTGCAGCAGCAAGAGCAACAAATCTGGCAGCAGACTAGTCAGCCTGGACAAAGCGGCAGGAGCAAGGGCAGCAACAACAGCGCCAGCAACCAACCACAATCTCCGGGGCGCCGAGCCTGTCTTCTTTTGTCACGACAACTGTTGTGCGAATTTGATGCTGCAGAAGCAACCGCATCAGGGCAGCATCGTGCGGCCCCATGCCTCTCCTCCCATCCACCAGCAGCAGCATCTGCTGCAGCTGCTGCTGCTGCTGCTGTCTGCGCTGCACATACACCTCGAGAGTGCGTGAGATCTGGCGCGTCCTCTGCGGGGAGATCCCCTCAGTGTATCCATATCCCGGCAGGTCTGCGAGAACGAAGGCCCCTCGCTGCAGCAGCTGTTGCTCTTTGTGTCTGCTCTGCTGCTGCTGCTTACGTTGATGCTGTTGCTTGCGCTGATGCGAGCTAGATGCGGCTGCAGCGCTGAAGAGGTAGAAGTCGATAGTCTGAGTGCGGCCTGGGGTGCGGGAAGAGCGGGCTTGCGGGAGCTTGCCGCTGTTGCTCTTGCTACAAAGTTTGAAAAAGGCGTTTATAAGTGAAGACTTTCCTACGTTGCTGCGACCGGCGACGGCAATCTCGGGGAGCCGCTGCTGCTGAAGCACTCCCTGCAGCAGCTGCTGCAGCAGCCGATCTCTCAGCGTTGCTCGAGCTGCGTCGCCTGCAGCACAGGCGTTTTCTTCCCCTTCCTCACCGCTTCCCGCTGCAGCAGTATCAGCGGCGTCATAGGGAACGAAGGACTCACGGATCGCACCCTGCTGCTGCTGCTGCTGCTGCGAGTGACGGTCTAGTCCGCTGTAGCTGCTAGCGTCTGAGTCGTCCTCACTAAGATGCTGCCCACTCGGCTGTGCAGGCAGAAGAAATGACCCCAAGAAAGACGGCTGGAGGCAGCTGTAGTTCCCAGTCCTCAGTATGTGCTCCGATTTGCTTGTGTCGCTGCTCCTGCTAGAGCTCTGGGAAACCACAGCAGCTATAGGCACGCCAAGTGCAGGCTTTTCTTCGGGCCCCTGTCCTCCGCTCGGAGCCCATGGGGTTCCCAGATTCCAGAGGCTCCCATAAGGGTCACCCACAGATCCCTCCTTTACAGAGTCCCTTACTTTTGCCGCCGCGCAACCCTTCTTGGGGCTCTCAGGGATTCTTTTGGAGGATGCCTTCGTGTTATTACTTTCGGAATTCCGCTTTAGCGTAGTCTCACTTTGTTTGTGCTTCGGGTGCAGCGCTTGGGAAGAAGGCAGGCGCCCTCGAGCTGCATCAACGAGGCCTCTCCACGGCTGCCGGAGAACTAAAAACTGGGATGATGCAAGTCCCTGGTCTGTGAAAGCTTGAGGTAGGTACGCGTTTTTGCGGCAGATCCAGCGGAAACTTAAGTCGACCGCTGCACCAGGACATGGTGGTAAGACCAGCAGAAGCAGCAGCAGGGGTAGTAGCCCCCGCTGCTGCATTTGGGGTCCGCCTGCACGCTACTCCTCACCGCCTCAGCTCTTTTAGCCACATATGTCTTACCACACCATTAGCCACAAGCTTAGGGCTCTAATGCTAAACCGTGAGTCCTGCAAACCAGCCCCCATAACTCATTCGTTGAACTGGCCTGCAAATTCATCCAGTTTTCGGTTTCCGTAATATCAGCGTCCATCACTAGGATATCTGTTTATTTTTTAAAGGGCTGACGGGGGAGGGCGCAGGACACCCTCAGTGGGCAGCTGGGGGGCCTCAAGAGGGGCCCCCAGCTACCCGGTGACGACTCAAGCATCGACAGTCCCTCTGAGTGCACCAATTGAATCCATCGCAGAGGCGTAGCTTTTGTGGAATGAATCTAGTTTACGGTAAAAAATAAGCGAATTTCGTGCTTCTCAGTTAAAACTCCAGAGTTCAAGCTCGAGGCGACTGCTCCAAAGGCTAGAAGGGTGTAACTCTAGAGGATTTGGGTATAAACCTTTCAGCCAGTCTCTCGAATTTCAGCATGCAGAAACAAGGCTCCATAGTGCTCTTGCTGCAACATTATGCGGTTTTAGATGTTTTTGCGTCCGCCGTCGCTACAGCCTTCCCGCTCACTGCCTCCGTTGCTGGCTTGCGTTTTGCCGTTCTTGTCTGCCCATTTCCTAACTCTATGCATGCAGCTGCCGCGGTTTGGGGCTTTTTCTCTGCTTGGCTGTACGGTGGGCGCTGCTGCTGGCCCAGTTCTTGTTGCTGCTTTTGCATAAAACTGCGGCAAAACCTTACTGCCCTGCAGAGGGCGCCGACTTTGGCATCAAACCCAGCAGGAACGGGATGCCAACAACAAGTGAAGCGGTGTAGGTCCCAGCAGGAACGGGATGCTGCAGCAACAAGTGCAGCGGTGTACGTAAAGGTAAATTCCAAATGCCAGATGATTGTGCCATCAACACCCAAGGGCAGGAACAGCAACGAATACAAGCAAAAATAATCATTTTCAAACCCAGTTCGCTGTACTGTACGCCTATACGTATCTGCGCAGCACGGAAGCTCTGCTATAACTATGCAGCGGTGACAAACAGTATTTGGCGTTGCCGCGGCTACTGCCATGCTGCGGCTGCTGCTAGTTACTCAACAGGAAGGCGCTGCCGCTTGGTTCATATGGAGGCGAGCAACAGGGAGAAAACAAAAGCAGGATTTACACGGAAAAACAGGAAGTCAGTATTCTGCTATCCTTCCTTGTAGGGGCCCTCAAAGGCGCGCCAGGGACCGCTGCCCTTCCCATTTGAAAAGCGCAGCTACCGCAGCTTGGCTGACACCCGACACGCAGCTGGGTTGCCTGAACACTTCAAACAGCAGGAAGCACTTCGGATAGTAGACCGGCAGGCCTTCAAAGAACTTGAGCTATAGGTAATTCTCGCTTTTGTTGTTTGTTTGTGGAGTATGAGGCCTCCTGCTTCGGTGTTCATGCAAAGAAATAATTCCTAGCCTGGTCAGTTTGTGGACTAAAACTAAAGGTTAGCTGACCATTTGGGCTTTTTGTCCTTGTCGACGAGAAGTGCCCTTACGCCTTCAACAAAGTTTGAATTGGAGACCGCCGTCATGTTACACATTAATACCAACTCAGTTTCCAGGGCATCCCTAAGCAGCTGCAACCGCTGCCGCTTCTGAATCTCCCGCTGCCGCTGGTGTTTCTGCTGCTCCTGCGGTACCGCTGCTGGATCTCCTTGAATTACCTCAGAAGCAGCCTTAATCTCTGCTGCATTCGCTGCTGTGGCTGTCGCTCCAGCTGCTGCTGTTGCTTGCTCTCTGTCTCGAATGGCTTTAAAAGCAACAACAAGAGAAAGGGGACAAGCCCGCTGCAGGCTCTCTAGGGTTTTACGACACAGACTGCAGTCGCCCGAATTTTCCTTGAGGTTAGCCATAAGACTCTGCAAGCATGCACACCCAAAATGCTAAACCCTGGGACCCAAATCCCAATTCGTGGAGCCACTTAACTCCTCCTCAGAAGACTATACCCCAAGGCCCTAGCCAAAGCCTCTAGGGTTTAAAATTCTAACCCTCACCTGCAGCGATTCCGTGTGAGCAAAGAAGCGTACTAGGAATTCCAGCATATGAGGCTGAAGCAGCCGATCAGAGCTCGTTGGCGTTTCTAAGGGCCCCTCAGGGTCCATCTTGCCTGCTTCCTCAAGAACATGAGATGCCCAGCACGTTGGGTCGGCACCAAGGGGCACTCCCTGCGCAGAAGGCCTCAAAACCTAAATACGTGACAAATCTGATTTTTGGCCTCCTCCAAATCGAGTTACCGATAGTTACATTCGATGAAACAGCCCATCGTCCCTTCTGCTGGTCGGAATACCGTGCATGGGGGCTAAGCCTACGCCTGTGGCTCTTGGATCTGACAAAGCGAAGTACTAACCTGCTGAAGGCGAGAAATAGCAGCAGGCAGCCTAGTTGAAGGCAAGTAGTGCGTCGCCAGTCCTGAAGAAAAAACAGCAACGGGAGCAAAAAGAAAGGCAGCAGCTGCAGCAGAAGCAGTGGAAGGGGAGCACTTACTGCGCAGGTATCCACTTGTGGATAACACTGAAAACGCACGAAGACGCATAACCAGCATGAGAATGAAAGTAGCGGCAGCACAGGAAAGCAACAGCGATTGCAACCACAATACAGAGGCAGCATCTACAGCAGCAGTAAGGGCATTAACGATGGCGGGAGAAGCATCAGCGGAAACTGTAACAACAACAGCAGCACCGGCTGCAGGCGCACGCTACCTGTGTCCATGAGGTCTGCTGCCCTCAGTCTCTCTCCCGTCAAAGCGAGGAAGAGGCCTAAGCCCCTTGGCTTTAGCTCAGCGAAGGTCTGGGTCAAGCCTGCGTCTGGAATGACACCAATGTGTACCTGAAGCACCAGCAGCAACACGAACATTAACTGCAGTTGGAGTACCTGGATCAGCAATAACGCCGCCAAAGGCGGCATAAGCAAACAACGCTAAGCGCATTAGTAGCAGCACAAGCACCACCAACAGCAGCAGCAGCAACAACAAAGGCCTCAACACCACCAAATATCTAAAAAATAGAACAGTTACAACGCTCAAGTGCAGCAACGATAAGAGTCGTGGCAAACAAAAGCAAAGGGCCAGCACCAGCTGTTACAGCAGTCGCAACTGTAGCAGCACAAGCCGCAGCTACAGCGAAAATGCACCTCTGGCATTGCAAACAAAGTCTTCTCAGTGCAAACCCGGAGACCCCCATGGACGGAGAGACCAACCCCACCACCTGCAATGAAAGCAGCTGCCAACACAAACAATACCTATATACTCAAAAAAACAAAACGCTCCTGCCAAGGAGTTTTTCGTTTTCTTGCCGTTAACTTCCTTCCCCAGAAAAGGCTGAGGGCCTGGTTTGTAGGGCTTGGGGCTAACAGCTTTGAGTCTACGCCGTATGGCTTGGGCTTTTTACTTTCTTCTCGGGGTTCCTGCAGTGCTTACCAAAGACAATGCCGTCCCAGAAGGAGACCACTGTGGGCCCCTTCTGCTGGGCCAACAGGAAGTCCAGTTGGTACTCTTTACAGAAAAATGAAATGGTGAATTCACGGCCCCCCGCAGCCAAGGCGCGCACATCGCCACCTGTAAAAACACACCAGCGCAGCACACCAATGCGGCACAGAGAAGAAAGTAGACAGTTTGCTATAGAAGCACGTTGCCTCTCCCCAGGCGAGAGGGAATTATAACATAACTCCGTCATACCGCCTCACGCCTTGTAAAGGTGGGCACAGCTTGAGCAGCTGTTGCTGCTGCTGCAGCTGCAAAACGCCAGCTGTTGTGCCGCGTACACCTAGGGAGTGGCTGAGTACCGTCATACGGCAGCTGCTGCTGCTGAGATGGGCCATTGCTCACTGGCTACGGCTAGGCATCAACAAGCGCCTGCAGACTTGAGGCTTGTAAGAAGCGGCCAGAGTTCGCGGTCTATTATTTATCGCCTAGGCTTTAGGGTTTGAAGTGAACGCGAAGTCCCTCTTACCTGCACAAAATGCCTTGTCTCCTTGTCCCCTGAGTAGTGTGAGTCCTCTCTGCAGCTGTTTTTGCTTAAAAAATGAAAGAAGTTGCTCTAAGACGTCATGGGACACCGCGTTAAGGGTACTAGGCCGGTTTAAAGTTAAAGTAAATACAGGGTGCACATTCTGAGATCCCCAGTGCTCTTCTAAAATCAGCTCGCCTCCTGCTAAGGACACAACCCTGCTGCAGTTGCTGCTGCTCTTGCCCATGGAGCAGATTGAATTCACGCTGCTGCTGTCCGTGCTACTAGTGCTCATCAAACGGCCAGCTGTGAAGAGAGGTAGAGATGATTGGAGCTTTTGCAGTTGTTTTTGCATCTGTTGTTGTTGCTGCTGCAGTAGCAGAGGTTGCTTCTGTAGCAACTGGCGAAGCTGACTGCTCATAGCTGTGGGTGCTGCAGAGAACCCACTGCTCCCAGAAGTCCTGGACACAGAAGCCCCGAAGGGAACGCAAAGTGTCCTCATCACGGCCGTGCTGTGTAAATTCTGCGCCAGATCCGCTGCCGTTAGACCCCAAGCTCTCTATGTTCGAGGTTTCTCCGAGTTTTGAACATTCTCGAACCCCGTGTGAGGGCAATCTTCTATCTGAAAAGTTGGGGTCTGAGCATGAGATTTTATGGTCGTGTTTGCTTTGGTTCCGAGAAATGAATAGCCACGGTTCTGCATGACTTCTGGTCGTTTCAAGCAAAAACTCGAACCATAAAAACTAACCAATTAGAAGTCTACGGCAGAAGACGGAAAAAAATAGGCATTTCTCTGTGTGTGAAACTAGGGTTTAAAGCTTCGGGGCCCAGGGGCCCCACGGCTGGGGCCCCCTGGTGTCCTGTAACGCCTCAGTTTGCTACAGTGAAATGAGCCCAAAATTCTATACCATAATCTCTGGAGACCAGACTCCTTCTTCCTTGCTCTTTCTTGACAGACAAAATCGTCCGTATATTGCAACAAGAGAGCATCCCTCCAAATTCGGCCCCCTAAACACTGAACAGTGAGGCTTGAACCAACGCGGAGGATCTTGAAAGGATTACCGCTGCTGCCCTGCTGCCAAGGAGGCTGTGCCTCAGTAAATTGAATTAGAATATTCCCGGTAGGACTTAGGCCGTAGGGTATAGAGTTCAGTGTTAGCGGTGTACATGTAGCGGGGAGCCGGCACAATGCCGCACCACCACACCAACAGCAGCGGCAGCAACAGCAGCAGCAGCAAAACTCGGCACCGCAGCCGCTCACCAGATGATCAGGAGCTGCATCAGAGAGACAGCAGCAGCAGTAGCAGCAGCAAACCCAACGGTGCAGCCGGTAGTAGCCGGCACACCAGCAGCAGCAGCAGCAGCAAGGACGGAAGCGGAGCCCACAGGCTACACGAAGATGTCCAGAAAAGTTCCCATCATCAGCACCCCCATCACCACCATCACAACAGCAGCAGTTCCGGCAAGGGCGGCAGCAGCAGTAATAAACATGCCGGCGGCGACAGGGAAAGCAGGGCTGGTACCGTCAGCAACAAGCACGACCACAAAAGCAGCGGCAACAAACACAGCCACGACAGCAGCAGCAGCCGCAAAGAGAGCGGCGGCGGTCAGCGCAGCAATAGAAGTAGCGGCAGCAGCACCGCTGAGCAGCCCCGCAGTGTGGAGAAGTCTTCCCACGATGCGCCCAGCAGCAGCAAGAGCAACGAAGCCAACAACACCAGCGGCAAAAGCATTAGCAACAGCAGCAACAGCAAATCGGGAAAAAATTGCAATAGCAATGAGCCTGGACCGGCCACGGCTGCAACACAAAAAAGCGACAGCAGCAGCAGCGATGATGAGTTCGGTACGTCATTCAAACTGAACACTTAAGTCATATACCCTAAAGTGTGGATCGTTCAGCGTATAGACTGTTTGTTGGGGCGTATAGCTATTTTTACGTTTGACAAATCCTACTTGAGGATCAGAATGTGCATGCGTATAGGTCCGAAACCAATTGAGGCCGCGGGAGCACCCCAGCGAAAGCGGCGTCGCCTGAGACATGAGGCTTTGCTTCTTGAGCAGCTCCCAAGTGCAAATAGGTACAGCAAGAGCTTCATGCACAGAGAGCAAATTATATTCGGTAAGCTTTGGGCGTTAAGTCTGATGTCTCTAGGAAACAGCCCTAAGCCAGCATGCTGCGTAGCTCAGGGGCCCTAATCAACGTTCCAAAGCGTAGGCTGGCTTTCTCCGGAGTTTCTTGGATGCCTCTATGGATCCTGCCTGGAAGAGCGTACAATTCAAGTTGTGTGCTATGCAGTTGTGGCGAGTTCTGCTCACCACTTCATTCTGAGCGGTTCTGTCGATGGGCATGTAAAATTTTGGATCCAGAAGGAGGGAGGCATAGAGTTTGTCAAGCACTTTAGGGCCCACATAGGTAGGTGCCAAAACTAGCTAGCTAGCTAGTTATTGGCAAGCCACCCTAATATCACAGGTGTCCCCAGCAAGGTGGCTTACTGAGCCGCTGCAGCTAACTGCTACGGGAAGCTCTGGGTACACTTTTCGCTGTGGCTGGAGGCTGCGGTTAGATACTGCGGCTTATTTGTGTGTTGAGGCGGATTCTTCTCATCAGTCACAAGGTGTGAACTTTAGTCCTTTGACTTATGGTTTGGGTGTGTGCACAGGAGAATTGCACTGCCTGTGCATCTCCAGAGAAGACGGAGGAGACCACGCGGCATCTGTTGGGGCTGACAAAACTTTGAGGGTTTGTTGCTGTGGTGGTGCTGCTGGGCATTGTTACAGCTGCAGTTTAGGCTGAGAAGCAAGTTGCTCTAACGAGATATTGCTGCTGATTCTGCTTGAACCGTATCGTTGTCTTGCTTTCTAATTCAAATACTTTCTTTCCTATGAAATCGCCTGTTTGTATTGTTTCTGTTCGCCTTCAGATGTTCGATGTGTGTAATTTCGACATGGCTTGCCTCGTTTCGCTCGACTTTGTCCCCTGGGCCTGCGAGTTCGTCTCTAGAAAAGGAGAGCCAACTCCCCTCGTTGCGGTGTACGTACACGCCAGACCTCACGCTGCACTCTTCTGGCTAACGAGCCACTTATGCGGCTTCCTAACAAGCGAAATAGATACTTGGCGAGCTAGACAGATGGCTGTTTTGACTCAGTGTAGTTGAGTGTGCGAATGTATCATTGTATTTGCATTCAAGTGGTACCAAGGCACAGGTAAGCTTTGTGCCAACGAAGTCATGCATGCATACGTGCACAGTCAAAGCTTGGCGCAAAAATGAGAGTGTTGATAGGGTGAAGGCGGGCTTGATGTGTGTACAACAGTATGCGCCACAACTAGCTCGAGTTTATGCAGATTGGCAGCCAGCGAAGCACCCTGAGTGTACGCATGTGATAGAAATCTTCTCAGAATTTTAACACGCTTGAGAACTCGCTACGCAATAATTCAACGCGCTGCGTTGCATTGCTGTGCCTTGCTTTGCCGATGGCTCGCCGCAGATCGGACAAAGATAGCCCAAGTGTGGTGGTGCTGAAGCCGTTGCTGCATTGCGCGAAGCCGGTGGTCACCTTCTCTCTCCACGCGTCTCCCGTGCGCTTGTTGGCCCATGTCGGTGGTACTGACATTTGCTTTTCAGCAGACAAAGACGGAGGGCTCGAAATGTGGAGTATACAGTCAGGCCGTAGAGTCTCTAAAGAGAGCCATCCTGCACAGATAGGTTTTGAATTCAAGGCGGAAACGCACCTCTTTGACCTACAGAGAGTAAGTAGTTTCTGCCGTGGTTTTCTCTTGTCCATTTTGTCCCTTCCATGTATGTATGCATATGCACAAAAGTATGCATGTACATATCAAGTAGGCATGCGTAGATGTGCAGAGGCGACCATGTATATAAATATACGCGCGCGTTATTTATGTGCTTATGTACTGAAATATAAGTTTGGTGTTTATATAAGTGCGCATTTATGTGCTTAGATTTATACATAAACATATTTAAGTCCACATATGATCTATGCAGGTGTATGCATATTCTGTCCGTGACTAGCTGGTGCCCTTTCTTTCCTAGTCCTACTTTCGTTCCTCTGGCCTGCCTGCCGCAAGTTTCCACCTGTGCGGTTAAATATTGAAATGTTCACACGGTTTTATGTAAGCTTGTGCAGGTTCTTTATGGCATATCTGTTTGGTGTAGGTGGAGTCGATCTGTCTTCTGTTGGAATTGCTATTACTTTTTGGGTGTTTGCTGGCCTCAGAGACTACCATTGGGTTTGCTATGCCGGTGTTCCGAGCACACATTTGGATCTCTTTTGCTTCACCCAGACTATCAGGTTCAATATATGTATATATCCGCTTACACAGAGACAGGTGCACTTTGCTATATCTGGTAATTTGCTTTTTATTTGTGGTGCGCCGCAGAACGGAACGACCCCGCTGGCGATCGCCGCAAGTCCTAACGGGCAGTGGCTGGCTGTCTTTGGCGCCGACTACCACTTGAGGATTTTCAGTGTCCGGAAGGCGAAGCTTAGTCGAGTCTACCTCGAGACGCTCCAGGTATTTCTTACGCTTAAAGCACGAGGCCAGGGTCTTGAGTAAAGGTTTTAGCATCTACGGCTCTTCGGGGTTTCAAGTGTGGGCTATACTTGTTAGAATGTAGAGTTCAACTGCAGTCTACAAAGGCTCAGTATGGCAGCTTTTTGGGAGCTTTAACTTTGAGGAATTAATGCAGGGTTTAAAGATAGTATGTTGCGCACGGGCGGATTGTGTGCTTTTTTAGTTCTACGAAATGGCCCAGAAAGACCCGCAGTCGGTTATGCTGCACCAAGACGCACTGGATTTCGAGCAACGAGCGGCCCTTGAGAAGGAACTATCGCGTTCCCCTCTTCGTTTCCACCAGACCCTTCTGTTTGACGCTTCTTCATCCTTTCTTCTCTATCCGGTTCTTCTCGGGGTTAAAGTCCTAAATATACTTGACAATAAAGTGAGAAACTGTTGAATTCTAAATTGTGGGCTCCCTATTCTACAAGGTTGCACGTTTGGCACTTTACCGACTAAGACGGGCCTCAAGGGTTCAGGATCCTTCAAGGCATCGGCAGTTAATTTTTCGATTCTAAAGGCCAAGCATTGTAGTTCATAGATTCGGCTTCATTACATAGGGTTTAAGGTATAGGACGTATTGTTTAAGGTCGGGAGCTGAATATCAGAGTTTAGGTGTTCAGGATTTGTTTGCAGGTCTGCCGCTTCATCGGTCGCCACGAGCAAGGCTTGCGGTACCTGGCGATTGCTCTTCATCAGTCCTGTGCAAGCCGTGTGTGTCTTCCGTGCTTTTATTTTTTTGCAGCTGTGCCAGTGGCTTAGCTTGTACGCTTCTCCCATCATTTCCTGATTCTCTGTCCCGTTGTTTTTGACTTCGGGGCACTTATTTCTTCCTTCACATTTTTCCCGGTTGTGTGCTTTTGGTTCTTACCTTTTCGCTTTTCGTTTGTTTTCTTATATATGGGTCTGATGTTTAATATGTTTGTTTTCCTCCGTCTAAGCGTCCCACTGCGTTTCCACCTTTACTTGCTTTTCCACCTTGGCTGTTTCCGGGTTTTTATGCAGCGACTTGCCAAAGCCACAGGGGGTTCCAACGATGCAATTTTGATCGCATCGGCGTTCAAGAAGAAACGGTTAGACACCAGAACCTGTACCCTAAAGACCCTGAAATCTAGGCACTTCCCGTTGGTTTCTTCTATCTGGTATTTCGAAGACAGATTTTTCTCAGAGCGACATTTGCCAGCATGGCTGCGTGCTGTGGACCCAGGGCCTGACTGGTGTGTCAAGCCTTTGAATCTTCGTGCTGAATCCTGCCTCCTTACTTTTAGGGTCTACTTTTTCACCCCAGAAGTTCCGTCCGAGGACATATTAGACACGCGCGATATCTTTAATGAGAAGCCTTCTAAGGAGGAGCAGGAGTCACTAGGCGGTGCGTCATTTCAAGTAGAACGTATGGCTCCTAGTGCGGTGCTTGTGTTCAGCTTAGGGTTTTGCAGGCGCAGCTTACTTGCTGGTGTGCTTCGTGGCTTTGGTGTTTTGTGCCATCTCAAAGCTACTGGCTTCCTCCACCTCAAGTTTGTTTGTATGATCATTTGTGTCCTTGTTTGTTTCATTGTCTGTGTATCTGCTTGCGCATTCTCCTTATTTGTAGGTGGTTTTGCGTTCTTTTTGGTGCATGTTTCATTGACTGGCGTTGTTGCTCCTGTTCTTTCGGCTGCTGCAGCTGCATCTGGACACTCTGCCATGACTCCCGCCCAGCGTGTGGGTTCGACGGCCACACTGCACACGACTTTTGGTGACATTCGCGTCAAACTATTTGGAACCGAGTGTCCCAAGACCGTGGAAAACTTCACAGTCCACGCGCGGAATGGCTATTATGACAACATGCTCTTCCACAGAGTTATTAAGGGCTTTATGATCCAAACGGGAGATCCCAATGGAGATGGAACGGGCGGTGAGAGCTTTTCGAGGCTTCGCTACTCTTCTGTGAACCTCCAACAGAACTTGCCTTTTTTTTCTTGTTTACTTTGTTATTGCTTCTAATGGGCTGCAGTAAATAATTTTGTCCTTACCACAGCCACAGGTTGACACGTGCTGCCTTGTTTCTCCACTCAGCGTCTGTGCAGACGATGTGAGGAGCAAATATGTTGGCATTTGCCCTCTTGCGTCTGTGTGCGTTTGCTTCTTCTGCGGTCCTCTTTGTTTGTGTGTGTATTACTCAGCTTGTCTGTTTTTGTCAACCTACCACCTATAGCTTATCGGGTTTGTGGGGCTTAGCGTCCTGCCCGGGTCTTTTGTTGCACATGCGTGCAAGCATTCGTGGACGCATTTCATGTATCTGCGTATGATATGCCCTGTGCCCGCACTACTTGGGGCTCCACTTTCTGTACATGTCTGCAGGGGAGTCGATTTGGGGCGGCGACTTTGAGGATGAGTTACACAGGTCTCTGAAGCACGACAGGCCTTTCACTTTATCCATGGCGAATGCGGGTCCCAATACCAACGGATCTCAGTTTTTCATCACCACTGTGCCTTGTCCATGGCTGGACATGAAGCACACTGTCTTCGGCAGAGTCACGCATGGCGCAGATGTTGTTCTGAAGATCGAAGGAGTATGCATTCTTAGACTAGCCTCCACTGTTTCCCGGCTTAAGCGTGAATACCAGAACAGATACAGGAGGCATAAAGTGTTTTGGCAAACTGCTGAAAATTCATTTGACCCTATATACAAGCTTCTGGTTATCTCCACTGATCGGCATGCATGCATGTCTCCCATATGGCGTTTTTTTTTTGTTTCTCCTCCTTGTCCGGGCCCTAGACGATATCTCGTGTCTTTCGACGTGTATTCGCAGGTGAAAACTAACATGAACGACAAGCCTCTGCAAGACGTGAAGTTGCTGACCATCAAAATTACTTCTTAATATTCCTTCACTTCTTCAAGCTGGAAGCCTTCAGAAGGATTCCAGAGGGTCTTACCACCTAGTCAGCGCTTTGCTGCTAGGTATTTTGCCGTATTTCAAGGACCAGATGATGTTTTAATGCTTTGTTATTTTGTCCAGATGAAAGCGCTGAACGTCTTTGTCAGATTGGCGCGTGCATGCATGTCCGTACACATCATTCGCCACACCCGTTTACACGTAACCACCTCCCTCGTTTACCGGTCTGTGTACGCAGCCACGCAAAGCTTGTAACGGCTCTGTGGCCTTGTGCATTTGCGTAGATATTTTGCCCGCTGCTGTGTACCAACTGTCCAACTTAGGCGTGAGCCCAAGCAGATGAGAGGAAGCAAAACGCGCCCACCTATATGGGTGCACTAACAAATTTGCAAGCATACTACATAAAGTTGCTTGCTCTGTACTGACGTGCGTTGCTCTTTCTCGTAGCACATGAACGTACCAACACGACACACCGCGAACGGCTATACGCATGCGTCCTCCTGTAGAAGCCGCTGACATAATGCTCATACACCAATGCATGCACCTGTCATGCACAGAAGAATAAATGGATAAAATGATGCAGTCATATGGTCGTTTGACCGTATGCGCATGTCCGTTAGTTTCCATGGGTAGCGATACGCTCGTCTTAGCACGTGCCTTCTCCCTGTGCGTGAGCAGTCGCGCTGGCACGCCTTAACACCAAAAAGAAATGCAACGCCTAGATCTATACACATGAAGGCAAGCCTACTGCGAAGCCTCAAGCATTTGCATCGTGCTGCTGCTGCACGGCCTCATTGCTCCTTGCATGCATTGCAGCACTATGCGCACAAATAAATACTGTTGTTTTAAATGCACGTAGCCCACTCAGCAGCAGCGGGGGATTATGTGCATCTGCACACATGCGTATGCTTGGATGCGCGCCGCAGAGATAGCACGCAGAACAAGCATCGTGTACAAGTTTGCCGGGCATCAGCAACACATCTCATCCGCCTGCTGCTGAGCTCGGTAATTGCTCGCAGCGTGGATGATTGTTTAGTGCACAGACACATGCGGATGCGTTCGCGCTGCTAATCCAGCGCTGTTTTTGCTGCTACTAATGCTGCTGCTGCTAACAACCTACCTAGAATGTGCATATCAGAAACGGCGTCTAGAAAGGCCCTACGCTGCATGAGGCTTCGAATTAAAAAATATCGGGTTCATCCAGACTCTTGTTACTTCTGCATCCGTTACTGGTAGTGCAGCAGCGATACGGTTCGTCAGTAACAGTAGCTTTTTAGCTGGCAACATCCCTGACCACTCCCTCAAGCTGCGCGCCTTCGACCATTTGGTTTCCTTCTCTGCCCTTTAACTCCAGAACTCCCTTCACCGGACAGCGGCAAGTTGGGCAGAGGCCGCTCCTGCACGGCAAAAAATGTATTTGGAGCATATGCAGAGCCCTACTGAACACTAAACAACTCCATGTGCATGCAGTGTGAGGACCAGGCGAGCTGTGACTCGAGAACCTTCACTAGTTACTGCAGCAGCTAGGGTTGACTCTTACCTATGGAAGCATGTCTGAGCGCACGAAAAACAGAGACCTCCATGTCCGCAGAAAAGAAGCACGGCGCTCGCCATCTGCAATCGATCAATGCATGCACAGTTTCACCTCAGACAGCATGCTTGTGCCTCGTGCAGACACCTTTCGAGCAGCCTTCAGTGCGTGTCTGTGCTTTTTATTGCATATGTTTCATTGAATGCCAACAAAGAAACGCATGGGCCTCATGTTTCATGTACTTGTATATGGCTCCTCGGGCACACAGCAACTTGTATGGTTTCTACTAGTATACACGCTTCTCCTCTGTCACAGGCCCCCTAATCTTTTATATTCTGTATTTCAAATGCACATACGCTGTACTAAACGCAACCTATATTACACCCCCAGTGCTAGAAATGCCAGATCCCTGGAGGTACAAACGCCTGTCAGGTGTACAAACACCCTACCGTGTTGCAGCAGATGATGCATAGCTCTGATTCCCGTAGCAATCTTTCCTCTGATGCAGTCACATCAGTAGGAGCAGCATTTGCTCCTGCCTCTGGTTGCACATCGACGGCTGTTGTTTCATGTGTCCCTGCTGCGCCCTGTGTGGGCGTGTCTTGCGGGTCTCCTTCTTTCTTCTCTTCCTGGTGAGTAGTTGTGCCACCTGGTGATGCCCAATGTAAAGAATTCCCTTCTCCAGTGGAATCCTGCACTGCAGTTGGGTTGTTGGCCTTCAGGGGTTCGTCATATAGGGGCCCTTGGGCCTGCAGGTGGTCATGCGCTGAAGGCCCCTCTGCTGGTCCCCCGATTCTATAAAAATGCTCGCTGACCCTTTCAAGGGTAAGTTTCATGTCACACATAAGGGGAGGGCCAACTGCTGCGGCAGCTGCTGCTGCGGAAGACGCAGGCAGGCTGCTGATGCCCCTGTCGTTGGGAGCCCGCTGCTCGACATCATCTGTGAGGGCGCGGGAGTGATTGGCGATGAAGCAAATAGAGACAAAAGCAGCAAACAGCATCAGGAGAAAAAAAGAGGCAACTCCAGCCGAGACAAACACCACGAATCGCGAATTCAAGTGTACGGACAGCCACTGCGACAGTGCGATTATGCAAAGCAAGAACGCTACCGCATGCATCTCAGACAAGTGCACGAGAACGCGCGTTATGGTATTCTGCTGGAGCAAAGCATCTCGCAAGAGCAGTAGGCCCAGAAGCAGGCAGCAACACAAGTGGCCCCCCGCAAGGACCCAGAGAGGCCAAGTGCATGCATAAGAGTTGGACAGGAAGGAACCGAGTGTCTGAGCTGCAGGGAACGGCAAAGACTGGAGACAGAGTGTCCCCAGCTGCAGCAGCACCACCAGGTCCCAGCATTGTAGGCGAGCCCAGGTGTATGCATCGTTCCTGTCAATGTTAAGGGCAGTGCTACTGCTGTAGCTCGCAGCCGACACTCCCAGCAGAGTCACCAAGGGTACCTTGCCCAGAATGTGTAGGGAAAATAAGACACACAGGAGAAGGCGCGACGCCACGCCCAACAAAACTATCACACGCAGCCGCTTCTCAGAGGGCAGAAGCCACGCATAAGATCGCACAAAGCGTGCGGCGCCACTAAACAGTATACACAGATCGAAGACCAGAAGAGGTAACGGCAGCAGTGCCCAGTGATGCTGCGAATAACTGCGATGGATGCACACCACTCCCCATAGAAAACATAAAAAAAAACACAACACCTCCACGCAAACGCCTAAGCAGACGATCGACACAGAGCCTAGCGGGCCCCTGTAATCGTCATACGGGAACAGCAGGCGAGGCTGGAATAGGCAAATGCATGGAGGTGGCATTTTAGATCCATTTCACACGCCAATCCACACAAATATTATGGCTCCTAAACTAGGGGGGACAGGCAGCTCAATAACTCATGCAGACGAAACAGCCTGGAGCAGTCCAACTCGATACAAGAAGGCGCCGGTGCACTCTCCAGCGCAACATTCCCGGCGGAACTCACAGATAGCAACCATAAGCAACTGGAAAGCAAAACAAAACAGAATATTGGCGTCGACACAGCGTAAAACGGCGATCGTTCCATATGGTGGGCCCCTAGGCGGCGTGGTGGGAAGGGGCCCCTCCCGTCGCTCCCACAGGATTCAAAATCACTTCGGCGTCTTGGGCACTTTTTTGCATAGATATTATATTTTGCTCCGTCTGGTGTTTTTCATGAGATGTAAGCTCTCGCAAACACTGTAGTGATCCCTCTCAAGGCTGGCTGGTGCCTGTCTTGGATATCTCGTGCTGACGTTGGTTCCGAAAAATTGCCGCATCGGGAAAAAGAGTCAAAGCAGATGAAAATGTGTCGCTTCTCATTTATTTCGGAGATGTCTGCGTGGAGCAGCAGCCTAGTAGTTGCAACACCAACAACCGCACGATGCTTCCGTGTGGATGCACATAGGTAGTGAACGATCGCGCCTTACCTTCACGCGCGCACATGATGCAGCAAATATGAATTTTCTGTTGCCTGTACACCGAAGCTACGGGTGAGTGTCATGAGGCAAACGAGTAATACGCCGTGAGATTGAGCCAGGCCCTCCCTGCAGATGACGATGGTTTGAAACCTTTCCGCAGTCCCCTGTAAGTAGCTTGAAATGATGGATGGCTAGTGTCCAAAATGTTTGATTCTTAAGGCGCCGTGTAGTGTGGTCCGAAATCCTTACCGTCGTGGAAAAGGGGGTCTTTCGGGAAGAAGCGGCCGCCCGTAACATAGGTGAAGTGCCATTCGGTATAACTGTTTCGCAGAAGTACGTTTTCTTATACCTGCGCAATTCGACTATTCATGCAGTCAGGCTATTACATCAGTTTTACTGCTTATCACATTTGGCCACAATTACCAGCAACCTCTGGCAAGCGGTGCACAACATGCGAGGCCGTTGTGGGGCATGGAAAGAGACCCTCAACAAACAGCACACTGAGCAAGAAGCTGGCTAACGGGTGCCGACTGCGAGATTGGGATTAGTGAAGAATGGAAGATGTTTTCTAGTGTAAAGGAGTCAACTGCATTGCCACATTCTACAGCTCACCGACAAGATGTACGGAGCACTCACGTCTACTCAACTAAACGTCCCTTCGTGTAGGTACTTGTTGAACGGAAACCTACGTGGATCTCAAATGAGAAGCGTAAAGACGCATGCGCTACTTATGCCCATGTTCATGCTGCAAATTGCTGGGTCGTTCCCACGCGTAGCATGCTCAGGGACATGCCTGACTTTTCAGCAGGAGCTAGAGCACCTACGCTCTAGCCAAAAGTTATTTAGGGAGTTACGAACGCTTCTTGAGCAGAGTTCTGCGCAAGCGCTATTCAGGTGCTGGTCAGAGTTGTTGGGTATGGGGCCACACTTTTAAGCTGGTACTAGGGAATCCACCTGGTCATTGAAAGTCTTAGAGGATGTGCAAGCCTTTGAATTATATTAAATCACTAGCGACA